AATGAACAGACGTTGTTCTATCTGAACAGACATTTATATTTTCAATTCTCATTTTCAACAATTCTCTGACATTTTGCTGGCCCAAGGATATTGAAGCCATCCATTGCTTTACTTGTCTTCCAAGTTCATCAGTGCCTGCACTGCAAAGGAAACAGATTGTCAGGCTGGAGAACTAAGAATATTCTACATATGTAAATGTTTGGCGAAGACCTTGCTTTTCTGGGTTCTAGGTTCCCACAAGTCTTTACTAATCTTTAAATTAAGCTTTATGATTCTGTGTACTCTTTGCCATAGACAAGTTTATCAGGATTAAAGAAACCACCTTGCTGCATTTTCCTCCTTTTCACCCTGTCCTCCTAGAGAATAAGTGGGAAGGCAGGCTACATGACTAGCAGGAACAGGATTAAATTTAGGCGACGTTGAAGTAAGCAAAGCCTGTCTTTCATATCTGCCCCCGGCGCAACTCCTGTATTCCAATGTTATAAATTCTCATTGCCACCTGTGCCTACCAGCACACAAACACACAGTCCTTCTCTCTAATTTCTTATTTTCACACTGAGTTGATTTCAACTAGGTATGAGGGGAAAACCCAGATAACACATATTAGTGTTTATAAAATCCGCCCTAATCCTTCTTAGTTTTGAGATGAGCAGGAGATGGGAGTGTTGTTCTGTTGCCAGGCTGGAGTTCACTGGCGTGATCTCCGCCACCGCAACCTCTGCCTCCCAGGTTCAAGCAATTCTCCTGCCTCAGCCTCCGGAGTAGCTGGGACTACAGGCATGTGCCACCATGCCCAGCTGCTTTATTGTATTTTAGTAGAGACAGGGTCTTACCATGTTGGCCAGGATGATCCTGATCTCCTGAACTCGTGATCTGCCCACCTCAACCTCCCAAAGTGCTAGGATTACAGGTGTGAGCCACCATGCCCAGCCTTTTTTTTTTTTTTTTTGCTTAGAGGAAACTGGCATAACCCAATTAGTCATGAAGTAACGAAATTTAGAAAAATAACTTTGAAAGATAGTGTTCAGTTTACATCAGACTCTACTATTTAAATCACGTATTTGTCTCTTATAGAGGCTGACACTAGAAGGGGGCAGATACAAACAGAAGTTTAGAATTCATAAAACTTCTTTTTTTTTTTTTTTTTTTTTTAGAATTCATAAACTTCTTTAGGGGAGTTAGGACAGTGAGCATTTGTGGGCTCTGCTCAGCCATATTCATGATCGCCTGATCCCCCCATAGCTCTCCTGGGATTGAGCCTTAGGCCCTGCTGCTGCTCAAGTCTGAAATGCAATTTCAGAGGACAACAAATGTGCAGAACCGTGGGCTGCCCAAATCAAGCAAGAGCCTACCTTGTCCTAATTCCCAACAACTGGGATTAGACTTTCTTCTCTTGGGAAATAAGCTCTCATACCTTATAGGATTTGAAGGCCTGTGCTACAGAAGCAGAGTTTCTGTCTTCTCAGTTAGGGAAGAGTGGGACACATGCCCAGAATGTGACAAACCAAACCAAGAATTTGCCTATTTTAGGTATAGGCAGAAATTTAGAAGCTGAGATGCCAGAATAGCAGACACCTCCTCCTCCAGCAGACAGTTATAAACGCTATATATATATTCCCATGGTCCCCATGACTGCCCTAACTCCATACCTGCAAACTCTGTAACTTCTTACGCTCCTCTTAGGTTATACTGAAGCTTAGCAACTCAAAATATCAGGAAGAGTGAGTCTCTTGGGCTGCACGGCCATCCTGTTCCATTTCCATTAGTCTGCAGATTTTCATGCACAAGAGTCTCAGTCCAAATGACCTGTTGGGAGGAATGTTTCAGAAAAGCATGGCTAGGTTTGTAAAAAGTTGGGTAAAGCTGGTAAATCCTATGGTGTGGGTGGAAAGGTGGGGAAGAGGTGGCCAGGAGCAAGCAGGAAAGGGTAGTGCATCAGCAAGAAATCACTTCTGCGAGTGAGCAAAGAGGGCCACAGCCACATTTACCCAAAGTGAAGAAGGAGGACAGGGGAAATTAGAAGCAAAAGAAAGTCATTAAGACTGTAAAATTGGAAAGGAGATACAGTAGGAGAGCTCTTGTTAAGAGTAAGATGTCTTATAGAGTAGTCTGAATTCAATGGAAAACTCATTATTATAGTTCTTGGCTCTTTCACTAATAGATTCAGAAAATCTGGATTCAGAAGAGGAAGAATAGAAGAGGATGAGGAAACAGAGAGAAGATTGGTACTCTTTTTTGACAAGGTCTCTTCTTGGCTTTGATGCAGATGCTTTTAAATCTCTTCAGTGGCACCATAATTAGACTCTCACTTAGATACTTGATAAGTCCAAACTTTCCTTTGTTGACTAGCTCCTCTTTTGTAGGTACTGAAAGGAGAAAATCATGACTTGCCAAACATTTACAAGACATGACTAGTCCACTCACATTCTGTTCTGGCTCCTGGCCACCCCAAAGCTGGGGCATAAGACAATGAGAGCCAAAATACTCAAATCCCACCAGGCACTTCCAAACTCAATCATTCATGTATCATCCTTAACTCTTCTCTTCCCTACCATATCCAGTCCATCAAGTAATCCTGCTGACTCTATACCTTCGAAATAAATCTTTCTCACTAACTCAATAAGCAAACATACCTGGCCCAAGCTGTCATCATTTTCTCTTGCCCGGGCAGCACATAGCCTCCCAACCGATCCTTCTGCTCCTTCCTTGTTCTTCTACCAACACAGCAAGTAACCTTCTAAATGTGTAAGTCACCCTATGCTACTCCTCTGTTTGCTTTCCATTTCAAAGTCCCTACAATGGCACCCCTAACCCTACAGGATTATGTCACCATTATCTCTGACTTCATTTCCCAGCACTCTTCCCTGCTCACTTACTCCATCTTGAAATGGCCTTCGTTTCTCAAACACACCAAGCATGCTTCCAGTTTAGACCTTGCACTAGCGTTTCATCTGCCTATTAACACCCTTTCTTATAGATACCCACATGGTGATCCCCTACTCCTCCTTCAAGTCTTTACCACATTACCTTTCAATGAGGTTTCACCTGACTACCCTGTTTAAAACTATAACCCATCTGTATAAAGTACCAGCTCAATGTAATCCTAACACTTTGGGAGGCCAGAGGCGGATGGAGTGCCTGAGCTTAGGAGTTTGAGACCAGCCTGGGCAATATGGTGAAATCCGTCTCCTATGGGAAAAAATTAGCTGGTGTGGTGGCAGGCACCTGTAGTCTCAACTACTTAGGAGGCTGAGGCAGGAGAATCACCTGAACCCAGAGGCAGAGGCTGCAGTGAAATGACACGTGCCACTGCACTCCAGCCTGGTAACAGAGCAAGACTCTGTCTCAAAATAAATAAATAAAACTACAACACCTTCTACTCCCAATCTCCTCTCTGCAACTGTTCTACTTCTTAATTTTCCCATATTACATCATATTTTAACAGATTTACTTAATATGTTCACTGCTTATTATCTCTTTATCACTACTAATAATAAGTCATGAAGCAGGCATTATTGTCTATTTTGTTCACTGATACATCCTACAATCACTACTAAGTATTCAATAATTATTTGTTCTTTATTGTTTTTTGTTTGTTTTTTTGAGACAGGGCCTTGCCTGTCACCCCAGGCCGTGAGCAGTGGCACAATCACGGCTCACCACAGCCTCAGCCTCCCAGGCTCAAGTGATCCTCCTACCAGCCTCCCAAGTAGCTGGGACCACAGAAGCATACCACAGATTCAGCTAATTTTTTGCTGAAGCAGAATTTTGCCATTACCTAGGTTGGCCTTGAACTCCTGAGCTCAAGATCTGACCTTCACCCCAAGCCTTTCCAAAATGCTGGTATTACAGGCATGAGCCACTGCACCCACCCCAAGCAAATTCTTTGAGATGGGATCTTGCTCTGTTGCCCATGCTGACCACAGTGGTGCAATCATGTCTCAATGCAGCCTTGAACTTCTGGCTTGAACTTCAAGCAATCCTCTTGCCTTGGCCTCTCACAGTGTTGGGATTACAAGTATAAGCCACCACATCTAGCCAGTAATTATCAATAATGAGTGAATGAGTTCATTTCTGCTTCTGCTTTGTTTGTCCACTGCTAAACACTTGGGGTCTAGATTCATATTTGTTTCATTGAAGGTATCTGTACTAGTGTCCTGAGGCTGCCATAACAAATTACTATAAACTTGGTATCTAAAATGACAGAAATACAGTCCACACAATTCTAGAGGCCAGAGTCTGAAATGAAGGTGTTGGCAGGGCCATACACCCTCTGGAGACTTTAGGGGAGAAGTTCCTTGCCTCTTCTACCTTCTAGCAGCTGCCTGGCATTCCTCAGCCTCCCTTGGCTTGTGGTGGCTTTAGCCCCAACCTCTATCTCCATCTTCACATAGCCTTCTCTCTATTCTCTGTGTCTTCCTCTTTCATCTCTTATAAGTACTTGCTATTGATTTAGGACCTACCCGGATAATCTAGGATGATCTCATCTCAAGATCCTTAACTTAGGATCTTTTTTTTTCCAAATAAGGTCACATTCACAGGTTTCAGGGAGTAAAGGACATGGCTATTATTTTGGGTGCCACTAGTCAACCTACTACAATATGCAGTTATTAAATGAATGAATTCTCTCTCAAAGCCAATCTTCATCTTTAGTTTTCCACCCTCTCCTCCTTCACGTGTTTCTATCCCAGTTCACATACATACTCCTAACCTAATATCTATTTTGCTGGCTTGACTTCAGTGGCCTCAGACACGTTTTTTCTCCTGCAAAGCAGAAAAAAAAAAAAAAAAAGAGCGAAGACAGTTACATTCAAGTAAAAGTGTGGTAAGAAGAAAAGAGTTCATATCAGAAAGTGAAGAAAACTAACTGGGGAGAACAAATTGTAGTCAGTAAGAAAATAAAGGAGAGTAGTTCTCAGCAGTGGATGAAAAATCAGGTCATTGTAGAGCCAGAGAATTTTGTCCTGAGGGCACCTTCTACACAAAGTGGAAAAGTGGGGTCAAGGAGCAGAAACAAGAAATGAGCTCAGGAAACCCTTGAGAAGGAAAGTTGGGTTGAAAAGGGAGAAGCAGACTCTGATGATCTGCCGCTTGAACATGTCAGCTTTCAGCTGAACCTCCTGACGTGCCATCTCCTCATTCATCTTCTTTCCTGATATTCTGAAAGTTAGTAACTGCCCTAAAGGCCATTAGAGTTGGGAGATGGTAATGACTAGACCTGGGAAGAGGGCTGGGTGGGGAGAATCCAAGTGAAATATCCATCCAGAACTCCAAGCCTTCCTGCTACACTAGGTTCTTTTAGTACCCATAAGCCACCAATCCCCGCTTTCAGACTAATTTCTTCCCAACCACCCTTCCCAAACAAGTTTCACCTCCTCTATGCTTACCCATCATGGCTACTATGATACTCCAAAGATAATGGGAGCCAAGTGAAATTAACCAAAGGATGAAATAGATGCTGCTGAAGATGCGACTGACTTCACGCACCTTCCAGACATCCTGAAGCAGTGCATACCAATGATCCAAGGTGAAGAGAATGAACACTGTTACCAGGAATCTGGAGGTCCTAAAGAAAAGGTAAAAGGAATAGACAGAAACAGAGGCCTAAACCTTTCAAAAATGATACCATTCTTACTTTTAAAGAAACATAAACATTTCTTTGTAGTTTGTTCTGATTTTTTGGTCTTTCACATACTCAGTTTTTAGCTAATCATTCTTCAGTTTGAAGTTTTTTTTTTACAATGGAGTCACACTCTGTTGCCCAGGCTGGAGTGCAGTGGCACAATCTAGGGTCACTGCAACCTCCATCTCCTGGGTTCAAGAGTCTCCTGTCTCAGCCTCCCGAGTAGCTGGGATTACAGGCATGTACCACCATGCCCAGCTAATTTGTGTATTTTTAGTAGAGATGGGGTTTTGCCAAGGCTGGCTGCAGGCTGGTGGCGAACTCCTGACTCCAAGGTGATCCGGGCCAGTCTCAGCCTCCCAAAGTACAGGATTACAGGTGTAAGCCATTGCACTCCAGCCTAAATTCTCCTTATCATAAATAATCTATGACTACTCACTATCCCATTAGTCCTGGGTAGAGAATAAATACTCAACAGGCATTAACTGAAGTTTTAAAAGATGAATGAAGCACCAACTAGTTCTTTCTTTTTTTTTTTTTTTTTTTTTTTGAGACAGAGCCCTCAGGCCTATCATCCAGGCTAGAGGGCGCGATTCCCAGGCTCAGTACTTGCCTTGCCCCTGTGGTTTGCTGATTCTCTCACCTCAGCCTCCCGAGTAGTCGAGATTACAGGCATGCACCAACACATGCCCAGCTAATTTTGTATAATTTTAGTAGACAGGGTTTCACCATGTTGGCCAGGCTGGTCTTGAACTCCCGACCTCAAGTGATCTGCCTGCCTCAGCCTCCCAAAGCTGCTGGGATTACATGTGGTTTCTCTACCTACGGTTTTGGCTCAGTTTTTTTCGCACTCTTATTCTCTCCACTGCTCTATGGACTCCACTTAACAGAAGATCACTGCAATTTAGCAAATTAGCAAATTTAGTGAAATAGAAGATCATTCACAAAATTATTCCTATTAGTTTGCTGGTATGAAATGATAGCAGGTAAATGGGTATGCTACATAAACATATGTGATCCTAAATAATGAATATATACAGATTATAAAATTAGTAATATTTTAAAATTACTAAAAAAGTAAAAAGTTTCTGGGAAGGTATCTAAATTTTCCTACTCCTTTAGTTTTTAGTCCTCCATATACAATTTATTGAAAATATCACAAGTTTAGCATAGGATAAATTCTAGACTTTTCCTAACTCAATATTCTTACAAAACTATCTGTTAAGAGTTTAACAGAGTTCTGAGAAGCGCAGACAAGATTGAATTCTAATTCATAAACGGGATTATCTACTCAAAATTCAAGTTGATTTCCTTCTAGAAAACAGTGATGTTTTCTTCTTTTTTAATATTTAAAAAACTATGTAACACTTCGTAAATTTGTGTGTTGTCCTTGCACAACGGCCATGCTAATATTCTCTATATCATTCCTAATATTCTCTATATCATTCCTAATATTCTATATCATTCCACTTTAGTGCCATGCGCTCTGCCGAAGTGAGCACTGATTAGTGTTTTCTAGAGAGATCAGGAATAGGTACAGAATGTGTAATATGTAGAGATTGGGATAAAACCAGTGATCATATTTGAGAATCAGATTAACATTCATTGACTTCCACTTACAATATATATCACATACTGTGCTAAGTGCCTAAAATGCATTACCACATTTATCCCCACACTCATGCAGAGCACTGCTATTATTCCTTTTTTTTTTTTTTTTTTTTTTGAGATGGGAGACAGAGTTTTCACTTTGTTGCTCAGGCTGGAGTGCAGTGGCTCAATCTCAGCTCACTGCAACCTCCACCTCTGGGGTTCAAGTGATTCTCCTGTGTCAGCCTCCCGAGTAGCTGGGATTACAGGTGCCCACTACCATGCCTGGCTAATTTTTGTATTTTTAGTAGAGACAGGTTTCACCATGTTGGTCAGGCTGGTCTCGAACTCCTGACCTCGGGTGATCCACCCGCCTTGGCTTCTCAAAGTGCTGGGATTACAGGCATAAGCCACAGCGCCCAGCCTATTCCCATTTTTCTTTTTATCTTTTTTTTTTTTTTTTTTTTTTTTTTTGAGATGGAGTCTCACTTGTCGCCAGGCTGGAGTGCAGTGGCACGACCCGGCTCACTGCCATCTCTGCCTCCCAGATTCAAGCAATTGTCCTGCCTCAGCCTCCAGAGTAGCTGGGACTACAGGCACCCACCACAACGCCTGGCTAATTTTTGTGTTTTTAGTAGACACAGGGTTTCACCACGTTGACTAGGATGGTCTCAATCTCTTGACCTCATGATCCACCTGCCTCAGCCTCCAAAAGTCCTGGGATTTCAGGGGTGAGCCACCGCGCCTGGCCCCCATTTTTCAAAAGAGGTAACTGACTCACAGAAACCAAGCTTAACCACTGGAGTGTACTGCTATTTAAAGATGCCTGATGACAGTGTGGTTTGAATTTCCAAACCCAGAATAAACATGGAACTAGCTGCCCAATTTCTCAAGATCAGAGCCAAAACACTCTACTATTCTTTGCTTTCTTCTCTCCCTATTGTGTTCTATTTGTTTCTTGGAATAGACTGTATTTATATTACTATACTTTGGACAAGCTTCCTGTCTTCTAGCCAAATTTCTCCCCTCACCCAGCTGTCCCCCAGCCTGCTTACTGAGAAGAACACATGGCACAATCTGTCCCGACGAGGTGAACGGGTGTAGTCTGAGAAGAAGTAGACACCAGTCACAGCAAAAATGTAGAAGAAGATGAGCAGCAACATCAAGAGGAAGGTCATGCCCAGAGGCCATAACCTCAAGTCAAATGGGCCAGACTAGGCTGATTTCCACCAACAGCTCCAGTCAAGCCTACCTGGCAATCCCACACCAAACTCCTCCCTTGTACCTGAACCCAGTCATCTCTGAATCATAGCACCTGTCCCCATTCTTCTCATCCAACAACATATCACAGGACATTTCATTGCCTTCTTTGACCCATCAAAATTTGTTTCATACATACATATATATATTTTTAGATGGAGTCTCACTCTGTCACCTAGGCTGGAGTGCAGTGGCACAATCTTGGCTCACTGCAACCTCTACCTCCTGGGTTCAAGCTATTCTTCTGCCTCAGCCTCCTGAGTAGCTGGGATTACAGACAAACACCGCCAAGCCTGGCTTTTTTTTATTTTTTATTTTTGTATTTTTAGTAGAGACAGGGTTTCACCATGTTGGTCAGGCTGGTCTAGAACTCCTGACCTCGTGATCCGCCCTCGGCTCTCCCAAAGTGCTGGGATTACAGGCGTGAGCCACCGCACCCAGTTGGATCTTGTTTCCCACATTCTAGGTTAAGCCCTCATATTTATCTACCATGCCCCCTGCTTTAGCTTGCAACAGTCCAATCACCTTGAGGGCCCTGACCAGGACCAAAATAATAACTCTAATTTGACGGAATTGTGCAAGGAGTTTGAGAGACCCCAGCACCCGCAGATCCTCAGAAGCCAGCCACACCGATTGGCCTGGTTACCCCCTACCAATACCACAACCTCGAAGCAGGACTGTGGAAAACACACAGATTATTAGTAAAACACACCCCAAGGCATCGCAGGCACACTTGTACCTTCTCTTCATCTCATCCCTTTCATTGTTGCCTGGGCATTATCCCTTGAACAGTATTCTCTGATAATTGTTTCCTATTCAGCCTTTCTATACTAAGTTGCTTAAACGCTGTACTTCGCCGGGCGCGGTGGCTCACGCCAGATCCAGGCACTTTGGCGCCGAGGCGGGTGGATCACAAGGCCGGGAGATTGAGACCATCCTGCTAACACGGTGTAACTCCGGCTCCTACTAAAAATGCAAAAATAGCCGGGCGAGGCGGGCGCCTGTAGTCCCAGCTACTCGGGAGGCTGAGGCAGGAGAATGGCGTAACCCGGGGGCGGAGCTTGCAGTGAGCTTGTAGACCGCGCCACCGCACTCCAGTCTGGGGTAATGTGTTGGCTCCGTCTCAAAAAAAAAAAACAAAAAAAACAACGCTGTACTTCAACTTGCTCAGATATAAAAAGGGGGATAAAATTCATGGTTATTTAATTGGGTTATCGTGAGAATAATGAGGTAATGTAAGGAAAACACTTGTACAAAGTGCCTGGCACTTAATAAGTGCTCAGTAACAGGCAGATGTTCTTGTTGGCATTGATGTTGTGGTCTACCTGTTCTACCAACAACTCCTGCAATGGACTGATGTTTAGTTTAGAAAAAACTGCATGTTATTAATGTTTTCCTATTATCATGTTAATCTCTTTGTCCTTTGATTCACCTAGGCACATTCTTCATCCCACTAAAGGAACCCTCAGGATCTCTATCCTTACCAACATGGTAACAACAAAGTCAAAGACATTCCAGCCACTCTTCCAGAAAAGGGAAAAGTTGGATAGCCACTTAAGAAGGATCTCCAGGATGAACATGGAGAACTGCTGCCACCTCCTGTGTCAGTTTGTTTTGGCCAGCTTGGTATTTGTGGATTCCAGCAATTCTGTGAGGATAGAGCAAAGGAGGAATAAAAGTTAAGGAAGCTGGAAACCGAATGATGGAGAATGATCACACTTAAGAAACCACAGTTTTGCCCACTACTGTTCCATTTTTCTGTGAGTTTCTCTTCTTAACATTGTTGCTTCAACCTGTGAAATACAGGGAAGGACAAAATTGACCATAAACACAGCCAAACGTTAATCTGTTGATATAGTTATGTCTGCCCAGCCACAAGTCACTTCCCCATCCACTGTGGGGGTCACACAGTCACTAAGAGAATACTCTTTTAATTACTCTACCCAACCCTCCACCCCCATCTACTGCACTGTTATCTCAGTCCCAAAGTTCACAAGAAAACAATGGGTCTTGAGAACAGAATGAAAATACAAGGCCATGAGATCTGAAGTACTTTATAACGAATGCAGAAACAAGCCAGAATCATAGGGGTATATCAAATTATAACAATAAATCACCTGGTTCTGTTAGCTTCCTTTTAAAACTTTTCCTTTCTTCCCTGCCTAAAATTGGTTTTGTTCTGCAGAGCAAATTGAATGCATACTTCCTCTCTAGAACCCGATTATTTACTAATTGCTATTCCTTAATTCATTGCCTTTTCTCTTCAACCTCTTTTCATCTCTTTTATACAATTGATATATGCCATACTCTGGGAAAAAACTGAGATTAAATAGGCTTAAAAGCTAACATGAAATCAACATTGTGGTGCTCTGGCTTTAAAGTCATCCTGATGCTGAACTGATCCAGACAAAAACAGAGTCATACTTCAATCACTCCTCAGAATTTTACAGAGGCTGGCCCTTCTAAACCAACGGAGTTATTATGTTTATACTTATTCCTATGCTTGTTTTTGAGACAGTCTCACTCTGTCACCTAGGCTGGAGTGCAGTGGCATAATCATGGTTCGCTGAAGCCTTGATCTTCCGGGCTCAAGAGTCTCTGGGTAACTGGGACCACAGGCACATGTCACCATGCCCAGCTGATTTTCTCTTTAAATTACTTGTAGAGATGGGGCCCCTATGCTGCCCAGGTTGGCTCAAACTCCCTGGGCTCAAGTGATCCTCCCACCTGGTCGCCCAAAGTGCTGGGGTTATAGGCATGAGCCACTGCGCCTCCAGCACCTCCCATGCTTATTTAGGCTCTGTGCTTTCGAAGTTTTTTCTTTCACACACATTTCTCCAAAATGGACAATTGTTCACATTTATCATCCATGAAGTTAGATGCTTTTTTTTTTTTTTTTTTTCTTTTGAGACAGAGTCTCTGTTGCCAGACTGGAGTGCAGGGATCTTGGTTCACTGCACCTCCGCCTCCCAGGTTCAAGCAATTCTGCCTCTTCAGCCTCCCGAGTAGCTCGGACTAAAGGCGCAGTCACCATGCCCAGCTAAAATTTGTATTTTTGGTAGAGATGGGTTTGTTTCCCACCATGCTGGCCAGGACATTCCTCATCTCTGACCTCATGATCTGCCCGTGTCTCCCAAAGCGAGATGCATTTGCCAATCAGCGATGTGTCCCAGTTTAATTGGGCATGACTTTTATTTCTTAGTGGTAAATAGTGAATTTCTCCATTGAGGACAGCTTAGATTCAACAATATACAAACTTTTTCACTTAACAATAAATTCTAGCTCTCAGAGTATGGAATTATGTAACGAGAAAGAGGTGAGGGACCACATTTGTGGCTGAAAATAGAATGCTATCATTTTAATTCAGCTTTTGCCCTTTGCAAACAGGAACCCAAAGAAAGAAATGAAGTAAAATAAGGCTCTTGTGAAGCAGAAGATAGTTGGCAATTTTTTAAAAGAAGTTTAAGTAGGGAAGTCCAAATTACAGAGGCAGTAGCACTTTTACCCTGAAAAAGCGGAATACATTCATAGAAGCTAAACGAACCCAAGGAAGGTCAGAGGAACAAATAGCAGAAATTGCCTCAGCAGCACAGAATATGCAAAAGTGACTGCCTCCACTCTACATCAAGTAATGTGTCCTCTCTGAAGATGAAAACAGTCTCTAAAATTCTTGGAATTTTTCAGGCTGCTGTAGCAAGGCAAAGGGAGTCTAATGGAAATAGAGACCAGGAGGCCCAGTGAAGTCTACCCAGGAATCTTAGCTTGTGTGTAGGAAGCAGCAGTGAACACTGTTGAATATTTTCAGGTGATAGACAGTAGCCATTGATCATGTCAGGCAAATATATAATTCTGCTTTATAGGAAAAGTTCACTCATGAACAGTCATCTATTTTACTCATTCTAGAAAAAATAATAGTAGGTCACTGGCAGAATGTAGTAACTCACATTGTATCAAGGAGTCCAATATTATGGTGAGAGAATAGTATGATTATAACAACAAACTGATACGATTTTGAGTATTTACACAGTTTTAATATTTTTAGTAATGTTTGGGCTAGCTATACCTATCATGAAGCAAGAAACACTGATGTTGAAACATAATTTTTTTTTTTTTTTTTTTTTTTGAGATGGATTGTCACTACCTCTGTCGCCCAGCTGCTATCTGTAGTCTAATACAACCCACCTCCCGGGTTCAAGAGATTCTCCTGCCTCAGTCTCCCAAGAAACTGGGACCATAGGTACGTATCACGAAGCATCACTGATTCTTGTAGCTTCTTAGTAGAGACAGGGTTTCACCATGTTGGCCAGATTGGTCTTAACTCCTGACCTCAAGTGATCCACAGGGCTAGGCTCTCCTAAATTGCTGGGATTAGCAGTGTGAGCCACACGCCCAGCCAGAAATACAATTTCATGAAGAGCATTAAGAATGATAATACCGTGCTGACCTCAAGATGATCTTCTACCAGATTTCACACCATCTATTTGACTAAAACATTAGATAGCACATCAAGCCATCTCTAGGACTTAAAAGTTACTGTAAAACATCTGGGAATATGCCCACCTTTGGGGAAAAAATTGTAATGATATTATACTTAATATTATTTACTTGAAACAGGGTCTTGCCTCTGTCACCCAGGGCAGTACACTGGTGAGATCACAGCTCACTGCAGCCTCAATCTCCTGGGCTCAAGTGATCCTCCCACCTCAGCCTCCCAATATACTCAGTTTTTAATTTTAAGCAAGGATTGTCTATACTTGCGATGTGTTATTTTCTGACAAAGGCTTGCAAATGAGTAAAAACTTTTCTTCTTTCTCATTATTTAGAAACAAAATATGAGATTTTAAAAATAAGCCAATTGATGTTTAAAGTGCAAAACAGAATTACCAATATCCAGCTGTGGAAGTAGATTTGTTAAAGCCCTAACGGTTTAGATCACTTTGTGATCTGGAAAAAAAAGTTTAAGCCTAAAAAACATCTTAATGTTTATCACATCAATTAGTCTGTTCAAAGAAATCTGTTAATCACAAATCATTTCCCTTTGCAAAATCCCTCCTCCTTCTCTACCACAAGAATAAGCTTAATAAGATAAAATTTCCATGAGCTTGACAGGTAATTTCCAGTCTGGCAATCTACTTATCCTCTGGCACAGTGATCATGTTGCATATTCAGTTAACTGTTTTACCAAATAGAATGGTTAGTGCTATTCTATTTTGATTTGTCTATTAGATCTAGGGTAGGGGTCCCAAGCCCCAGGTTACTGACTGGTACCAGTCCATGGTCTGTCAGGAACTCCGCCATGCAGCAGGAAGTGAGTGGTGGCTGAGTGAGCATTACCGCCTGGGCTCCATCTCCTGAGCTCCATCTCCTGTCAGATCAGCTACGGCATTAGATTCTCATAGGAGTGTGAGCCCTATTGTGAACTGCATGTGCGTGACCCTTAGGAGAATCTAATGCCTGATGATCTGAGGGGGAACAGCTTCATCCTGAAATCATCCCTCCTACCCCATCCATGGAAAAACTGTCTTCCAAGAAACCAGTCCCTGATGCCAAAAAGGCTGGGGACCACTGATCTAGGGAATCCTGTATATTTACTATTATTTACTTCATTCCAAGGCTTAGGACTACAATCCTAATACAAGGCAAATACATGGCAGCATTCATACAATAAAAGGGAATTATAAGTAACTTAGTTCAAAATCTTCAATATTACGAGGAGGAAATAAAACACCTCAAAGTATATAGTATACTGTACTGGGTCAGTGACATCAATTATCGTTGTATATTTAAATATCTTGGACCTCACTACACTAAAGGACTATCTTATTTTTTTGAGACAGGGTGTCACTTTGTCACCTAGGCTGGCATCCGGTTGCACGATGGCTCACTGCAACCTCCGCCTCCCAGGCTCAAGCGATCCTCCCACCTCAGCCTGCTGAGTAGCTGGGACTACAGGCATGTGTCACCATGCCTAGCTAATTTTTGTATTTTTTGTAGAGATGAGGTTTCTCCACATTAGCCAGGCTGGTCTCAAACTCCTGAGCTCAAGCGATCCTCCTGCCTCAGCCTCCCAAAGTGTTGGGATTACAGGCATGAATCACCATGCCTGGGCCCCAGAGATGAGCTTGTAGGGGATCTGGACCTAGAGGCAGAGTTCTGAACTGGCTACAGGCACTGGACATTTCTGTTGAGGAAATATCTGTGTGACATAAACAGCCAAGAGCTTCATAACTATGCCCTTCTCTTTTTTTTTTGAGACGGAGTCTCGCTGTGTCTCCCAGACTGAAGTACAGTGGCGCAATCTCGGCTCACTGCAAGCTCCACCTCCCCGGTTCACACCATTCTCCTGCCTCAGCCTCCCGAGTAGCTGGGACTACAGGTGCCCGCCACCATGCCCAGCTAATTTTTTGTATTTTTAGTAGAGACAGGGTTTCACCGTGTTAGCCAGGAGGGTCTCAATCTCCGGACCTCGTGATCCACCCGCCTCGGCCTCCCAAAGTGCTGGGATTACAGGCGTGTGCCACCACGCCCAGCCTGCCCTTCTCTTAAAAATTCCTCCTAGGCTGGACACGGTGGTTCACGCCTGTAATCCCAGCACTTTGGGAGACTGAGGCATGAGGGTCTTTTGAACCCAGGAGTTCAAGACAGCCTGGGCAACACAGTGAGATCCTGTCTCTACAAAAAAAAAAAAAAAAAAAAATCAACATAATTAGCCTGGTGTAGTGGCATGCACCTGTAGTCCAAGCTACTCAGGAGGCTGAGGGGGGAGGATCAATTGAGCTCTGGAGGTCGAGGCTGCAACGAGCCATGATCATACCACTGCACTCCAACCTAAGCAACAAAGTGAGACTCTGTCTCTAAAAAATACAGTGGGAGGCTTCCCCACAACAGTGAGAATTAAACAAGTGAGTAGTTCTACTGTCCTTTTATCATTTCTGAGCAGTTTGAGATTATCAACAAATGAGCTCGCTGATTTTGCAGACATCCTTATATTTTGAATATGCTTCATATAATTTATTATTGGTTTCAGAATCATTTCCTTTTTAAGTAATTTTTTTGGCTCAGCTAATATCTTAGTTGCACCTACCTTTCCATACTTTGTAAGCTTTCTTATTTGTACTTAATCTTTCTAAATACACTTGTAAAAATGTAAATGTTAGATCGTTCAGTGATAGGCACCAATATCCTTAACAGAAAAGGTTAATTCAAACAAATGTCAGCCTAAACTGACAACAGAAATACAACTGGTCTTCCCAAGTTCAGTTCCGTGTGGATTTGTTACATTGCTACATATTACACCTAGTATTAATCTGTCTAGATATTCTGTATCTAGTATACTCTTGAGAGCCCTCCAAATACTAATATTTCTTTTTTTTTTTTTTTTTGAGATGGGGTGTAGTGGCATGATTTCAGCTCACTGCAACCTCCGCCTCCCAGGATCAAGCGTTCTCCTGCCTTAGCCTACTGAGTAGCTGGGATTACAGGTGCCCACCACCATGCCCAGCTAATTTTTGTATTTTTAGTAGAGACAGGATTTCAGCATGTTGACCAGGCTAGTCTTGAGCTCCAGACCTCAATGATCCAATCACCTCAGCCTGCCAAAGTGCTGGGATTACAGGCATGAGCTATCACGCCCAGACAATATTTCTAGATTTTAGCAGTTGAATAAATCCTACTCCAGGAGACTTAATATAACTGTCCTTATCACAATTCAAATGACATTCAAAAATGTAAAATGATCAATTTAGAAAAAAAAATTACTCCTATCCACTTCCTTTTTTTTTTTCTTTTTTGATAGAGTTGCACTCTGTCACCCAGGCTGAAATGCAGTGGCACAATCTCGGCTCACTGAAACCTCTGCCTCCTGGGTTCAAGCAATTCTCCTGCCTCAGCCTCCCGAGTAGCTGGGACTACAGGTGTGTGCCACCACGCCTGGCTAATTTTTTGTATTTTTTAGTAGAGACGGGGTTTCACCATGTTGCCCAGGCTGGTCTCGAACTCCTGAGCTCAGGCAATCCGCCTGCCTTGGCCTCCCAAAGTGCTAGCCAGGATTACACGCATGAGTCACCACGCCTGGCCTCACTTCTTTCACACAATGTCAGTTCTCACCTATTTCAACCATCAATACGATCGTATTCAAAAAGATCAGGAAGATGATGAAGTTTTTGAAGAGAGGACCTGTTGTCTCTTAAGGAAATGTACAGAGTGGAGTTCTTTCTGATTTATGCAGCTGAAATAATAAGGGTAATAACATAAGTGGTGAGAATGAGAAAATGGAGTTTGGGGAGCAAAAATAAGTCATTAGGCAGATCATCAACAGCCAGGACAAAAAAGAGTGACGTGAAAGGATACACTCAAGGACCCATCCGGCCCACAAAGAAAGAGGTGGCCTCTGACTGCAGCGCACATGAAGCTTGCTCAACAGCCTCTGGGCATGTGAAATCTGGCCTACACGTTGAGGCTTTATAGAGAAGCGCACTAGCTGGTGTTGATCTTCCAACATAAGTTTCTTCTGGCGGGAAGGATCTACAATAAAAATTAAAAAGGGATAGTGGATAAAGACAAAGAAAATAGAGCAGGTAGGGTTGGGGGCAGGGATATTGGTCAGATAACGGGTCTCCCTAATGCCTTACTGCTGGTCCTTCTCTTCTCACAGCAACTAAGAATTGTTTGGAGTGAGAGAAAATGTACTGCTTATGATCAACACTGTCCATGCCCACAAAAGCAATAGGTTCACAAAGTCTTAAGTGTCTTTGACAGAAACTTTTCCGAATCACCCACGGCTAGTGGCTATCCTAGGCCTAAAAGTGAAAGACATGGATTCTATCTCCTCAGTTTTATTTACAAGCCCTTGATTTATCAAGTTTGGTAAACCAGCAACTAAACCGACCTCCCCAGAATTTTCCACTCTTAAATGTAGAGGATGTGCATAGGAGTCTTAAATTTAAATTAGTGAAGAAATAGGCTGCTGACCGAGTAACTCCCTGATAGTGTGCCGCGGCACAGCTTGGCTCAAGCCTTGCAAATGCTCGATGAGAGAGAAAGTATCGATGAGACGTGAACGAATGGCATCAGCTCGGGGCAGCTGCATCTGCCCTTCTTGGTGGTAAGTGGCCATGTCTGCTAAGAAAATGTAAGCATCTAGTGTCATTTCATTCTTGGAGTTGCACCAAAGATTACAGGTTTTCTGTCCCCTCCACCCCACCGTCTTTGCCCTTAAGATTCCTTAATGTACCCACATTTAGGAACCAGGAGCAGTTGGGAAGAACAACATTGCACTAAGACTCGGGGTTTGTTGAAACAAAAGGGGCTAAGAGTGGTAAAGACATTGTGCTGTCGACCAAGTGGCCAGGCATCTTCACTTTGCGACGGCATTTCTAATTAAAAACAAAACAAAACAAACAAAAACACCTCAATAAAAAAGCAGCAGCCACAAGGGTAGGGGACCGGGGCAGGACAAAGAAGAATCTGGGCCCCACCTGGGCCTGAGAGAATCGGGCAACGAGGTGGAGTTCAGGGAGGGCTTGGCCTGCCCACGAAAGAAACCAGGTGAAGATAAATTGGACAAAATGCAAAAGCCTGACATTTTGAAAATGGGTCCGGTCCCAGGTGTGTCCATCCTAACACTCCTTCGGGGGCTAGCTCCTTCTCTCCTCCATTATCGCTTCTGGGCTTCACCTCAGCCCAGTTTCTCTTCGCCCACTCAGTCCCGACTTCACGCTTCCGCCTCCAGCTCAGGCGCCCCCTGGGCCCGGCTACCCCTGCGCAGGACGAGCTCAGGACCGGTTCCCAGCCTCACTGCGCCCCATTCCCCGCCCCTCCCGACCCCCAGGTTTCGGCTCACCCCGGGACCCGGCCCTAGCCCCTGCCCCCTGCCTAAGACCGGGCCCAGCCACGCTCTCCCAGCCCCTCGCCGCCTCGGCCCCGCCCCGCACTCCGGCCACTCGGCGGTTATCGGCTGGTTCCACCCGCCCGACGCAGGCGCCGCGCAGCCAATCGGCGGCTGCCACACAGCGGCCCGAGCCGGGCTTGGGGGTTGGGACCTCCGGCTGCAGGTCTGCCTGGGCCAGACGCGCGAGCGCAGGCAGCCGGTGTGTGGTCGCTCGCAGGACCTCCCCAGTCCCAGCTCAGCCGCGACCCTTCCGGCCGCCTCCACCCCACCTCGCCGCCATGCGCCCTCGCCGCCTTGCGCTGTTCCTGGGCGTGGCGCTGCTTCTAACCGCTGCCAGCCTCGCCGCTGTCTCCGACTTGCTAGAACTCACGAACGACAACTTCGAGAGTCGCGTCTCCGACACGGGCTCTGCGGGCCTCGTGCTCGTGGAGTTCTTCGCCCCCTGATGAGGCCACTCTGCCGGGACGGGGGAAGAAGGGCCGGGCTGGGCCAGGGGCGAGGGCGCGGGGAACTGTTGGGCCTACGCAGCGCCGGCGCCCTTCGTTCCTGTGGGCCCCTGCTGCGGCGGGCACATTTCTCATTACCGGGGGCTGGAGGCGCCTCGCCGAGAGCGGGGGAGTCGGTGCTGATCGGGAGAAGGAAAACCCGAAGGCTGCGCTCACGCAGGGCCTCATCCTCACCCTAGTGCTCTTGCGGCACTTCCTATTTGCAGAGGGTTTAGCCACCCCTTCCCCCAGTTCAGTGTGTAGCTATATCGTTTCTGCGTGAGTCAGTATTAACGTTTCTCCAGTCTACAGACTAGACATCCCAAAGCCTTGTAGTGGAAGCGGACGTTTCACCAAATGCACAAGTCCTGGATCCCTAGGATATTTACTTTCCTCTTACCCCACACTGCACAGCCATTGGTTTCTAGCCAAGGTCACTGAGTGGCTGCAGAATGGTCATAACTACTTTCTTGAGTCAGGTAATTTGTCCGTCACATGGTGTACAATTTCTCCCTTCAGCTGATCACTTACATCTCAGTCCCGGCAGACACCTCTGTCCAAAAGAAAAGAGTAGGTGAACAAGAATAATCCCATCAGAATCTGTTCATATTGTCCGTTTTAATTAGAATTTCTTTAAAATGTCAGGACTCCAATGAGAAAGTAACCAATATTGATTAAATACTCCACTTTAGGGTGACTTAAATGAACACGGGTGTAAATTCCTTATATAGAACTAACTCGAAATAAAAATATGTTGAGGAGAAGGAAGAGCAAATAAGATTTCTGGCCCAGTCAACTTGAGTGGTTTTCTTTGTTTTGTGTGTGTGTGGTTTTTTTTTTTCTTTTTTAAACCTCCAGATCATTATCATAGTAAACAGTGATTCCTTTATCCTTGGGATAGCTCTATATATTCAATATATATAATTACACTACTTAATTTTTCCCCTCCTGGGGACCCTTGGTTTAAAACTATCCATGTTCAGAAATGTCAGTAAATGTTGTATATAACTTTTATTTGCCTCAGACTCGGGTCTTCACTTCTTAGCCTCAACCAACTTGCTGAGGGTTACACGGAAAGAGTCCTGTAGTAAAGACCACCTAAATCAGAATGATGTGTTAGAGATGGCAAATTTTGTGTTCAGCTTGGATAGATTTTGTGTCCAGGGCATTTCTGGGGCTACCTGGCAGTACAGATTACACATATAATTCTTATACATCTCTGGAACTCATGTTCTCTCTTAGGAACAACTCTTCCCAATTATATAATCATGCTGTTAGCTTTGAGGGGGTTTCACTATATTTGTAAAAACTGGGGTTGTCACTGAGTTTGTCAGGTCTGAGTGATGCTTTTTACTACAGGGGTCATGCAACAATTTAAAGTAGGAATTAGGCCAGGCGCGGTGGCTCACGCCTGTAATCCCAGTACTTTGGGAGGCTGAGGTAGGCAAATCACGAGGTCAGGAGATCAAGACCATCCTGGCGAACACGGTGAAACCCCGTCTCTACTAAAAATAGAAAAAAAAATTAGCCGGGCGTGGTGGCGGGCGCCTGTAGTCCCGGCTTCTAGGGAGGCTGAGGCAGGAGAATGGTGTGAACCCGGGAGGCGGCGGAGCTTGCAGTGAGCCGAGATCGCGCCACTGCACTCCAGCCTGGGCGACAGAGCGAGACTCCGTCTCAAAAAAATAAAATAAAATAAAATAAAAAAATAAAGTAGGAATTGTTGGAGAATAGCGGGCCACTAGAATATTAGTTTAAAAAAGGAATTTTGGGGCCAGGCACGGTGGCTCCCGCCTGTAATCCCAGCACTTTGGAAGGTCAAGGCGGGCGGATCACCTGAGGTTGGGAGTTTGAGATCAGCCTGACCATCATGGAGAAACCCCGTCTTTATTAAAAATACAAAATTAGCCAGGCATAGTGGCACATGCCTGTAATCCCAGCTACTCAGGAGGCTGAGGCAGGAGAATAGCTTGAACCCAGGAGGCAGAGGCTGCAGTGAGCCAAGATCATACCATTGTACTCCAGCCTGGGCAATAAGAGTGACACTCTGTCTCAAAAAAACAAAAACCAATTTTTTGTTTGAATTGAAGGGGGTCTTTCCTACTTGAAGTTGTTGCACGTGCTACCCTAAAAACTACATATCCCATCAGGCACTGACTATCCCAAGAATTGGGTAGATCTCTGCTGGGGTGTCTGCTTTTAATTGGTTTAAAAGAAAAAGTCATCCTCCACGATGTCAGCAAGGAAGATGAGTTTTCTGAATGAGCAATTTGGAGTTAAAGAAGTCTCCTCTTGATGTCTTTATTTCTTCACATTCCACTACGGTGTTTTTGTTTTTGTTTTTGTTTTTGAGATGGAGTCTCACTTTGTTGCCCAGGCTAGAGTGCAATGGCCCCATCTCGACTCTCTGCAACCTCTGCCTCTTGGTTTCAAGTGATTCTCCTGCCTCAGCCTCCCAAGTCGCTGAGATTACAGGTGCCCAGCTAATTTTTTTGTATTTTTAGTAGAGATGGGGTTTCACCATTTGGGCCAGACTTGTCTTGAACTCCTGACCTCAGGTAGTCCACCTGCCTCGGCCTCCCAAAGAGCTGGGATTACAGGAGTGAGCCACTGCACCCGGCCTTTTTTTATATTTTATTTAAGACAGAGTCTTGCTCTGTTGCCCAGGCTGGAGTGCAGTGGCATGATCTGGGCTCACTGCAACCTCCACCTCCCAGGTTCAAGCGATTCTCCTGACTCAGCCTCCTAAGTAGCTAGGATTACAGACACACACCACCAATCCCGGCTAATTTTTGGACTTTAGTAGAGACAGGGTTTCACCATGTTAGGCTGGTGGCAAACTCCTGACCTCAGGTGATCCACCCTCCTCAGCCTCCCAAAGTGCTGGGATTACAGACATGCGCCACCTAGCCCAGCCTCGGTATTTTTATTTATTAACAGTTCAGCTGGAAATGTTTTCTGACTGCTATATTCCTTTCTACAGTTCAGGAGTACTATCTTACAAGAAACAGTCGCCGGGCGCGGTGGCTCAAGCCTGTAATCCCAGCACTTTGGGAGGCCAAGTTGGGCGGATCATGAGGTCGAGGGATTGAGACCATCCTGGCTAACATGGTGAAACCCTGTCTCTACTAAAAATATAAAAAATTACCTGGGCGTGGTGGTGGGCACCTATAGTCCCAGCTACTCAGGAGGCTGAGGCAGGAGAATGTCATGAACCTGGGAGACGGAGGCTGCAGTGAGCTGAGATCGCGCCACTGCACTCCAGCCTGGGCGACAGAGCGAGACTCCGTCTCAAAAAAAAAAAAAAAAAGAGTAAAATGGGGTCTGGCCCTGTGGTGCATGAAAAGAGATGGGCAAAGTCAATGTTATTCCTGCCAGATATACCCCAACTGGCCAAGGAAGCATGGAGAGTCCCTGAGAACCATCAGGAGAGTCCGTAGCTTTTGGAGTGTGGGGTATCCAAGACTCTTAGGAGAGGGAACTCTTTAGAGCCCTTAGGGAAGTCTATTTCTCTCACCTTCAGATTTCCTAAAACATGTACCTGCGAGGGCCTCAAGGTGAATCAAATCACCTCTCATGCTACCTATGGAGAGCTTGCAATGTCCCGTGAAAAAATAAACAGAATCCCAGTAGGGTAAGCACCAACATTGTTCTCACACTTTCTAGGGGAAAAAAACAAGGATCCAGAAGTAAGGGGTGAAATTGCGGATCTAACATGAGATAGGGAGGTCAGGGAACTGGGAAGAAACAGCAGATTTCGGGTATCATGAATAAGAGAACCAGATTAAGGAGAAGGACATGGAATCTGAGAAGGGGTTCATGCAAATTTAGGATGTCGGTAGAAAGGCTAGAATACTTGGATGCAAACTGGAGGGCATGCAATACACATGAAGCTCAGCCCAGGAAAACCACATGCATGAACAGGATGGGGATGGAAGTTCTTTCTTGATAGTTTCCATCACATCAAAGCTTCACCCTTCTGATCTACTGGAAAACCCCAGACTTGCTAGGATCTTTGTACTTCATCAGAAAAATGAGGCAAATGCCCTAGAAAAAAGAAAAAGCACTGATTTTCTGCTCGAAACCCAAGAATTCCAATGTAGGTCTATCAGTCTGGGTAGGGTGAAGGGTAAACATAAATATGTAACCCTAATACTAGGCATGGAAAAAATGTCCCCAATGGAGGATCAAGAAAAACACATCCCAACCACTTTCTCAGTCCCCAATCTTTCCTATGCCTCCTCAACATCTCCTTAAAGGGACTAAGGATATGCGGGACAACAATGTCTATGCAAGACAGCTTCTCATTCACCAGTGACTAAAGCCCGTAACTCAAAAGGGTTATAACCTGACCATCTTCTAAGCTCTGTCTTTTGTTTGCCCCAAGGATACAACTGAGGCTTCTGTGCCTCAATTTCCCCCGTGATCTTGTGGCAGGAGGGCAGGAAAGTTACTGCCTCTAGCTCCTCAGAGTGGCTAGAAAAACATTTGGATTTGAAGATGGTGGCAGTAGAGTGTTAGAGTGATAAGAACAGATTCCAAGGCAAGAGATTACTCCTGTATTCAACAGAACTGGGGGATGAGTAACATTAGGGGGTGGTGAGAAAGGAGAACAGGAAGGGATGAGCAGCCAATGCTACAGCTACCAGGCAGTCCGGCCCCAATCCCATCCAAGCCACTAAATGCAAGTTACATAACCTCAGGGCAAACAGGAGAAAGAAACAGGTGGGCTCTCCTGCCAGAAGTGCAATAAGCAAAGCAGTCAGTCCCAGCCAGGGTAGTGGCAGCAGCCAGCTTGGTGGCAGGGGTTACCGTAGAGGCACTCGGGATCATCCTGGCCTGAGCGCAGCCAGTTCCGGAAGAGGCGCAGGTGGTAGGAGCACTGGTGCAGGTGATGCGCCAGTGTGGCATCCAAGGAGACCGGCCGGCCCCCTGTACAGTCAGAGGAAAAACTGCGCAGCAACTGGACCACAGGGTGCTGGTCATCCAGCAGCTCTGGAGGGGGTGAGGGGACCACGGCAGGAAGCACAAAGATAGAGAAAGAGAAGAGGGAGAGACAATGAGGGGGGCACTGACTAGCACAAGCATTACTGGGAGGTGGGGACACTCAGACCCAAGGTGAGCTAAGAGAGAAGCAGAGATGGTCAGAGCCACTGGGCATCTCTTGCAGGGAAGAAGAGTGGTGTCATCACACAACGAGTCTGAAAGAAGGGATAAGTGAGACCTCATCATACAGCAATGTCCTCCCCTTCCTCCTTGAGCATAATTGAGTCGGTGCTTGTAGACAGCAGTCACATCGTTGTGAACAGGGGTGAGCTGGCAGTTTTGTGGCTGGGAGTCTTGACTACAGCATCACGATCCCTCATCCTTGGATGAACCCTACTTAGGGCCTGCATTCTCAGGTGAATGGATTTATGAAGTAGGGATAAAAATGAAAAGTTCAAAGTCACTTAGAGAAGAGTGTCAAGGATGATACTGGTATCAAGACAGTCAAGCTAAAAAGGCTCTTTTTTTAGGGCAGGCCTTCTGGACCACACTCTAAGATAGCCAAAGACAGGGATGGTATTAGGCAGCTGGCACAGGAGACTGACAGGAAACCAGATGTAGAACTCGTTTAAAACGGTATGTGTGGAAAATGGAATCAATATGTGAAAATACCAATATTGACTAACTATCCTTGACCTTACTGTTGTTTAAACAATCACTTAAAAAAAAAAAGTACACATAAAACTCAGGACTCAGAGATACTGTATCCATTACGAAGTTGAAAGTTAGATAAAATTTTACATTTTCTTCCCACTGCTGGTGAGTCTAACTGCACATTTTTCAGTTGGTGAGTAGAAAAGCTTTGATTCTGAACCCCTCATTTTAGCTACTTGGCAAACTTTGTGGATGCATGTAATTGAGCTACAAAAGGTTGAAAGCAGTCAAAGGCATGTGGAGAGGGGTGTAAGAGGAACAACAGGGAAAGATCTTAGAGAAAAGGTATGGGATCTTAAGACATGATGTGCGGATGGACAAGAACTTGAGTACAGGATGTTGGTATAGAGAAGGTACAATCAAGGCAGCTGAGGATGACTGCTCAAAACTCCCAGACCAGAACTGGCTCCACAAGGTGATCCCATGAGACTGTGGTCTTCAGAGACCTTAGCTTGGACGTCAGGACAGATTTCAGCTCTACCTAGGCTAGTCTTGTGAGCACTAACTGTATGTACCAATGGTCACATAGTTACATGGGTCCCTAGAAGATAATGGGCTTGACAAATCCAGTGGTCACACGCTGACATTCTGGATGACCGTGAGCTACAGTCTTTCCCACTTTATTAATTTACTTTGGTGAGTTCAGTGTGCAGTTTAGTAACAGGCTATACTTGTGTGCTGGATATAGTTACAGGATACAACAGCAGCTTATCAGGGACAGAGGCAGGGATAGGCTGAGGGCTGCTCTCCCATCAAAGTGTGAAGACACACTGCCTTGCCTCTTTTCCAAAGCCAGGTCCAGTATGTCCAGCTGCTGTTTCAAAGCCAGGTATCATGGCAAGGAGATGGTGATGACAGAGCTGCTGTGACTTATCTGCAACTACAGACAAAACATCCACTTTGTAATTGCTGGTCAGTCAAGCAAGATCTTGGCCATGGAGGAGAGCCTTCATATTTCTTGAGGGTCAAATTGAATCTACATAATCTTCCTCAGCAAGTGACATACAGTTCCAAATTTCTGCTGTTGTCAACAGGTAGAACCCAGATTCTGGCTTCTTAAGCATATTAGCCTCCAAGCTCCAGCACAAGAAAAACAAAGGAGGCCACAAGACCCCTGAGGAAGTGTGCAGGGTATTGGAGATCTTAAATTTGTTTTCCTGCACAATACCTGCATTATCCAGCTCTTTTGTCCTCACCTCCTTTTGGCAGAAGTAAATCTTCTTCAATGGGTGAGGCTGCTAAACAGGGCTTCGGGGAACTGGAGGTACATAGGTCTGAGGGTCTGTTTTATGGACTTGGGTCTTTTCTTATGGCACCTAAGAACTAGGAGATACGTGATTTAGCTCTGATTTGAGTAGCCCACGTTCCTCGTACTATACTGTGGATCCTAAGTCCAAGTCCCAGGCTGTGCTATTGATGCATCAGGTTCTATTCTGGAGATGGCTGTGGCACATGAAGGACAGAAGAGCTTGAAGCTCAATGAGCGGGCACACCCATGAGGCTCTGAATGGGAACTCCTGCCACAGGCACAATTGGGAGCCTGGGGGCAGGGATAAACTGAGCCAGCATAGGCTAGTCAACCTAGGGAGAGATTTCAGCAGTGCCTTGTGAAGATGTACAACCTGACTGGGCTAAAATCTAGCAGCTGTCACTTGCTAGGCAATAGGAGATTAGCACATAGAGGTTTTCTAGTCTAATTTTACTTCCCTCAGAGAGTCTTAGCTCTTGAATAGAAGAAAACCATACCTAAAAAACTAGATTTACCTTGAAGACAAAATATAATACAGAGAGAAAAATAAGGATACCAAGGATAAAACTTTGAGAGTGAGCCTCGGTTCTCCTGCTATACCCTACAAAGAGACCATACCCCTCAATTTATGGTTTACGGAGATCTCCAAGCCCTCCCACCGCAGTGTGGGCAGACCCAGTTCTTCGATGTTCTTAAAATATTACTCATTCCTAAGCTCCTCCAGAATCCCCAGCAGACATCTCAACTCTTCAAACTTCTCTGCGATAGCTTTACCATAGGTAGGCTGGTGCCACATGGAAACTACACTTAAAAACTCAAGGTACGGTCCTTTTTCTTTTACCTACTACCTCCTACTCCTTTCTTTTTATTTTTTATCCCAAAGCAACCTGGGCTCTTGTTTTCTAGGCCCAGGCACTAGGTAAAAATGTCAGGAGCACAAGAGCCATACAAAATACACATAACGGCAGGAGAAAGAAATATGGAGATGGGAAACTATATACTCAAGACTAACACCCATGTAAGTAGGCTTAGGAGCTGGGAACTGCAGCACTGCTCTAAAAGAGGAACAAACTAGTTATCCACATCCACCCCAACAAAAGAGTTGGAGAAAAAACAGAAAGATCAAAGTTATATAAGTTGAGGAATTGGGGGTATTGGGGAAGAGAAGAAATGGAATCAATCTAGGAAACACTATTCCCATTCTAAGAAGGGGAACCATCATATCTGTACACAGCCTGGGAGTCATGTGATAGGAAAGGGAGAGTTTTTGATGGTGTTTTGGTGGTGATGCTGACAGAAGTGACATAATGGTGATGACGGTGATTATGGAAGTAAGACCCTGAGTTGCCACAGGGATGGGGAAGCCAGGCTGCAACCAAGACTAAGGCTGTCACAAGGAAACCATCCCAGGAGGGACACTTAGTGAGTGGCTCAGAGACAGCAGGGTGTCAACACAGTTGGAAGGAGAGGCAAAGTCAGTGTCAAAACTCAGAGTCAAGTGTCTAGAGGTGACATGATGAGGAGGAATGACACTGAGTCAGAAGCAAACGTACTGTTAGTCGGATGCTTTGCAAACGATACAGAAAATTGTTTTACGGTCGGGACAAACAAGAGTTCTGGGGAGAAAAGACACCATGGGGATTATACCCACCCTTGTCCCCACCCTCTGCTCTGGAGTTTGCCCACAAGATAGTCTGTCATTTTATTTTATTTTATTTTATTTTATTTATTTATTTATTTTGAGATGGAGTCTCACTCTGTTGCCCAGGCTGGAGTACAGTGGTGGGATCTCCGCTCACTGCAAGCTCACCTCCCAGGTTCATGCCATTCTCCTGCCTAAGCCTCCCGAGTAGCTGGGACTACAGGCGCCCGCCACCACGCTCAGCTAATTTTTTGTATTTTTAGTAGAGACGGGGTTTCACCGTGACAGCCAGAATGGTCTCGATCTCCTGACCTCGTGATCCACCCACCTCGGCCTACCAAAGTGCTGGGATTACAGGCATAAGCCACCGCGCCTGGCCAGATATTCTTTAAAGTTAGTTATCTGACCTGCTCCCCTCCCCATCTCTTGGATTTCTAACTAACACATGTCAATTTCTTTTCCTTTGGTAAATCTCTTAGGAATCTATGTGTCATCTCTACCACAATACACCCCTACAAACAACCCTAATTTTACCACTGTGTCCTCTTTCTGGTCATTTGGAAATAAAATCTTCATAGAAATATTATCCCTTCCCCCAGTCTCTTTCCATATTATCTTTTCTGCCTTAGCTGAGCAACATTCCCTTCCCCAAACCCAATTTGCTGGATTTTATTTTATTTTATTTTTATTTATTTATTTATTTATTTTTTGAGACGGAGTCTCGCTCTGTCGCCCAGGCTGGAGTGCAGTGGCCAGATCTCAGCTCACTGCAAGCTCCGCTTCCCGGGTTCACACCATTCTCCTGCCTCAGCCTCCCAAGTAGCTGGGACTGCAGGCGCCCGCCATCACGCCCGGCTAGTTTTTTGTATTTTTAGTAGAGACGGGGTTTCACCGTGTTAGCCAGGATGGTCTCGATCTCCTGACCTCATGATCCGCCCGTCTCGGCCTCCCAAAGTGCTGGGATTACAGGCTTGAGCCACCGCGCCCGGCCAACTTTCTTATTTTAGAGATGAAGAAACAGAGATCCAAAAGGGACATCCTTTGCTCAAAGTCACACAGTTCTTTAGCAGCTAAACTGGACTAGAATCCAGGTCTCCTGACTCTGAGGACCAACTGTATTGTTAGAAAATAAATAACTATTTTTCAGGAACCAGCATAGTTTCTGAAATTAACATGGACAGAAATTGAAGGGCATGTGAAGAATCAGTTGATTATATGTAAAGCATGCCTATTATGTGATGAGCACCCTAATAAGAAGGAATACAGGAAATAACAACAAAAAGATATGTTTTTTCTGCTCTCAAAAGTGTATTATCTCATAAGCCTATGCTCAAAGCCAGTTGCCCACACATATAAATTCAAAGAAAGCAAAGAGAACTCCATTGCCAATGAGAGGATTAAATAAAATTTGAATATTCTCTGAAGTATGTAATAAATCAGACCAGTCATTGTCTCCAACAGCTGATCTAGAGTAGGGTTAGGATTCGATGGTTCCTTCTCCTACTATAGCCTATAAAGACAGAGTGGTCAAGAAGAAACAAGACTGACACCCAAGTTCTCAGGATTTGCCTCCCTATTTCCAAATCCATCTTAGCCAAGACCCTGGATTTGGCTTGTGACTTAACATTCATAGGGTTTCCCTATGGCTGGAGTGGAAAGGAGTTCAATTCCCTTGAGGCCACCAAGAAGGGACCATGGTTTCAGGGGTCCCAGGATTTCAGGGTCACCAGAGCAATCAGGAAGTTCAGATGGCTGATGATTCCAACCCAGGAATTCAGGACCTCTCCTCTATACAGCAACTTCCTCCACCTTTCATGTTCAAACAGGCTCTGGAATGAGATTCCAGAGAGTAATCACAGTTGCTAAATATGACTGCTTTTCTTCAGCGAAGCTAAAACTAGCTGGCTCTATCCCAGACCACCCTAAGTTTTGTCCTACAAACATTTCCTCCACTGAATACTTTTCTGGTGCAGTCATGCCAACTCTGTTCTGCCCAGTCCTCAGATCATCTCAGAGGGTGGTCTCTACCTTATCACCACCATCTGCCAACCAGTTCCATGTCCATACTTCTGCCTTGTTCTTTAAAGCATTCCCATGGCCCACTTAACTGGGCTAGACACACCTATCCTCTTTTCTAGTCTGTCTGGAACCTATTCTTTACTGGGACTTCTGGGAAGAGAGGCCCATGTCATAGATCTACACTATTGTTGTTTTGTTTTTTGGTTTTTGGTTTTTTCTTTTTCTTTTTTGTTTTTTTTGAGACGGAGTGTCACTCTGGCACCCAGGCTAGAGTACACTGGCACAATCTCAGCTCACTGCAACTTCCATCTTCTGGGTTCAAGAAGTTCTCGTGTCTCAACCTCCCAGTAGCTGGGATTACAGGCATGCGTCACCATGCTCAGCTAATTTTTGTATTTTAAATAGAGATGGGGTTTCACTATGTTGGCCAGGCCAGTCTTGGAACTCCTGACCTCAAGTGATCTGCCTTCCTCGGCCTCCCAAAGTGCTGGAATTATAGGCACGAGCCACTGTGCCTGGCCAGATCTACATACTTATCATTTATTTCTCATGCCCCAAACCATCTTTCTCATTTCAGGAATGTAGAAGGCAACTTATTCTCATAAAATTAGCCTGGAAAGTTACCAAAACCTTTCTCACTCTTGCTAGTCCAAAAGCTGACCATTTTGGGGCCAAGAAAATGGGTGCCAAGGACAAAAGCAACAGAAAAATTAGAGGCGCTAAATAGAATGATAGGACAAGATAGAAAGAGCAAGGGGACCAAGTCCAGACCCCACACAATCATGTCTGACCTCCAGTTCTAGTTACTGGCTCACAAGGCACTGTGCTCAGAGATAGTTACTCCCAAGGACCGCCCCCCACCCAAAGAATACAATACCCTCTGAGGCTTGGTCCTTCCTGCCGTGTGTGCTCTCAGAAAAAGTTGAATGATGTTCTCTACCCCTTTCCAGGGATCCAAAAATCAAGAGACATTTCCTCAAAGTCCTGAGAGATGCCTCTGCCACTACACCAGTCTCAGACTTGTCAATTTTCCAGAAGGAAGGGGAAAAAGTTACAGGATTAGGTGATGATGGAGGAAAGGGCATGGTGGTAGGAAGGGTAACAGCGGGGATGTGAAAAACACAGATTTCAGAGGAAGACATGGCACAATTCTTCAAATGAGCAATACATTTACGAGGGTTGCAAGTACCTCTATTTATAGCTCTGTCTCTGATAACTCTGAAGGTTCAGAGTCTCCATGGCCCCTTAAGGTCTGGGCTAGACTGGAGGGACAGATAAGGAATGAGAGGGAAAGCCAGAAAAATGCCCTTTGGCCAGGGAAATGTGATTGGTATAGAAAACCAAGAGATAAACACCTTCCTGGGATGGAACAATCATCTGAGATCCAAGTTCACATCTAACTATGGCTTCTCCCACTTCATCCTCCCTACCCCCACCTGATGATATTCCACTGACTGGATGGTTCCAAACCCCATGACAAAAGTTTCCCACAATAAAACTCTGAAGAAGGAAGACAGACAACTTTTCCAACAATAGGTGAGAAATGCTGGCGAAACCATACCTAAGCCACTCTGCTTCATTTCTGTGGGTGGCCGTGAAGATGAAAAGAGCCGGTAGCCACCAGGCCTTGAGGATGAAGTCTCAGAAAGTACCTGCAGAAAAAGGACTCTATAATTAATCACTTTGCCACCTCAACCCTAAAGTTTTATACTTATCCTGGATTCCTGTCCCTACAAAGCTAAGCAATATTAGAAAGTTTGCAAGAACCAAAGGATTTATAGGAGAAGAGGGATGAAAAGGGAACAGAAAATGCACTTTATGGAGGGAACTGTCTGGGGCATCTTTCTATACTAGAAGCCACTTCAATTTTCAAGATGCCTTTCCCCAGAGCCCTCCCATTCCCAATCTGAGTTTGAGAAATCATTATTCAACCCATTCCTAGTTCTCAGCAGAGCGGTTTCCTAATCGTATCCATCCCCCCACAAGACTCAGAAAGCCGATCACAATTGCTCAGCCACAGATAAGAAAGTCTGGCCACCCTCTCTTCTTTCCATGGGACAGCTATGGCTACTGCAACCATACTACATTTCTTGTTCGAACCAAGCAGCCCTCCCCTCCAACTATCTCACCCCTAGAAACATGAAACAGAATTCTTACAATGCCCACAAGGGCCCAATCACACAACCCCCAATACACACACATCCCACCTAGATAGTGTCTGAGTCCCTAGATCCCAAAAGGCAAAGACAGAAGGTAAAACAGGAAGGTGAGGTAGGGAGGGACACCTGTGTGCAGGATGCCAGGTGAGTGGTGGACACAGCCCGGGGCTGTAGGCCGATGGCTGGGGAAGGCCGGGGGAGGTCTCCCGACCTCCTGTAGCGCCGTCCCCACAAGGGGATGAGGTCCAGGTTCCCCGTGCACTGCATGTTCATGACCTGCAATCAGACCAGGTGGAAAGCCAGTCATGGCTCCTTTAAATCCCAGGATCCCAAAAGTCCCAGTGCCCATAGGGCAGAGCTAGTTACAGGGCTAGAGAGGATGACCAGCTAGGGCATAGCTGCTATGAAGGTCATAAGTTTTATAATCTAAAATAGTTAAAAAGTATGAGATGACAAGAGGAGAAGAAGGGATGGAGGGAAGGACAAGTTGTATGCCTATATTTATAGAGCAAGGAAGATAAATATTAATATTAGTATTATAAGACTTTGTGACCAAGGAGCAGAGAGATGATTTTCTAGCAAAGCTGAGGAAAATATCCTGGACAACCATCACCCTGGATAAGCCAGGGTCTAAGCAGCACTAGTAATTGAAAAGAAGGAATGTGATTACAATAGGAAGCTTCCTATAGGCCTGAAAGAAAGAAGTCAATCTTATCAAGTCTGAGAGATGATATACTGAGAGCTTTCCTTTGCCTGTGCCTTGTTTTTTTTTAAATTTTTTATTTTTCAAAAATTTTTTTTGTAGAGACAGGATCTTGCCCTGTTGCCCAGGCTGATTTTGAACTCCTGACCTCAAATGATTATCCCTCTTAGGCCTCCCAAAGTGTTGTGATTCATCCTCCCAGGAATTCAGGGTCTTGTTCCACTCCGGGGCTGACCTGTTATAGCTTCCTTTCAACTATATATTGTCTCTTACAGGATCCTCTTCCCTCATCTCTACTATTTGTGATTTCACCATTGCACGTGACTTTTGAATTTCCAGCTTTACAACCCTTTCCATCACCTTCCACAATAACTCATTTTGGCTATGGTGCATATAGCACAACATTTAAAGGTATCTTTTGGGCCAGGAGCAGTAGCTCACACCTGTAATCCTAGCACTTTGGGAGACTGGAGCAGGCAGATTACTTGAGTCCAGGAGTTCGAGACCAGACTGGGCAACATGTTGAGACCCTATCTCCACAAAAAATACAAAAAATTAGCCAGGCATGGTGGCACATGTCTGTCATCCCAGTTACTCGGGAGGTTGATGTGAGAGGATCACTTGGGCCCAGGAGGCAGAGGTTGCAAGGCTGCAGTGAGCTCAGATTGCAGCCCCGCACTCCAGCCTGGGTGACAGAGTGAGACCTTGTCTCAAAAAAAAAAAAAAAAAAAAAAAGGTATCATTGTGGAGCCATATGCAGAAGGTATACGTATAACCATGTTTAAGGAAATAAGACTTATAACATTGTCCCAAATTCCATACTCTTCCTAATGCCAGAGCTGTGTTCTAGGTGATCTCTCTGGCTCAGCAACATCCCAGCACATATTTTCTGTTCCAGTAAGAACCTCCTGGATGCTCTGTGTCATGCTGTGCCTAAGTGCCACACCTAGCTGGATTCTAAAAATCGTAAGGATAAGCGAGGTTTTTTTTTTAATAGAAGTCAAAAGAAGGGGCCTTCCTCTCATCCGCCCCACCTGCTGGCTCCTCACCTGTGTGTTGTCCTCATAAAGCACGATGACAATCTGGGCCATGTATTTAAGCTCTGAGATGGCACTAAGATAATCCAAAGCTCGCTGCCATTGTGCATCCTGGGTCTCCTACCAAATGCAAAAAGAGGTAAGCCATTGCTTAAGGAAAATGGAGTCAGGGAATGAGCAGGGAGCTAATGAGAAGGGAGAAAGCTTTCATTTAAAAAGCATGAGGAGAAGAGTGAAAGAATGCTGGGAAAAAATCTGTTCACAGGCTAAAGAAGGAGGAGGATCCTTACATCAAGAAGTCCTCCATAATGGAAGACACTGAGTAGGGAGCGGACGTGGCTCTCACTGGTGAAACAGAGACGTGTTCGAACATGGCGACCTGGGGAGGGCATGCCTCGGGAGTACCTGAGATAACAGCTAAATCACTCACACAGTCAGTTAATCCTCCTCCCACCCTTCTGCACACTCTTTTCTCCCACCTCAAAGACTTCTCTCCTTTCCATCCCAAAATCTTGTCTATTCTTGCTTCCCCAGGCTGTTCCAGCCTTGATTCCCCCAAGACTCCCTGACATGCCCCTCCCTCCATCCAACACCCCTCCCAGCCCTCCCTCACAGGGGATGCCGCTTGTTGACAGACTCATCCTCGTGGGTTCTCTGCAGGTCAAGCAGTATCTTCCGCAACAGTGGAAGACAGAAGCCCACAGCAATTTCCAGTTTCTCCTCCCGGCTGATCCTGTACTCCTAGGGGCCACAGGCCAGGAATAAATACCTCAATAAATCTTGTTTTCTCATGCCTCATATTCCCAGGACCAAGATCATGCCTGTCTTCACCTCACGTCTAGGGCTTCTTTCATATCCACTACACTCCCCCTCTTCCAGGTGTCTCCTGAATTAGCCTCTTGTACTTACCAAGAGCCAGACTGGACCCTGAGAAATGTAGAAACTCAACTTATTCCTTCTCTAAGTGGCTTTCCTCTAGTCCCAAATCACCCTTCCTTTCCACCTTTTCTCTCTTTCCTTCCCAACACCCTCGTCCCCAGGCTAGGTCCCTTATACAAGACACACCTGGGGAATGACCACATCAGCCATTGCCTTAGAGAAACGGAGCAACTCGGCTGTGCCTTGAAGTCCAAGACTCCCATTGTGCTGCACATCATACTTGACACAGTCATAGATGTCAGGGATCTTACTGATATCATAGCGCCCACTCTTCTGTCGAAAGTCACGCTCTAGCTTGCTCCAACGCTGTAGCATTAGCTCTAGTGTCTCACTGTGGTAGAGCTGCAGGTCTGGAAGAAAGGCAGAAATCAGATAAGAATCAAGGATTTTACCTCCAACCAAAAACCCTGATGACTCTGAAGTAGAACCACAGGGAGGAGGAGGCCTGGTCTCTGACATTTAGCAGATGACACAAGAATGCCTGAGAAACCCATCCATACCTGAGACCTTGAAGGGAAGATAGTAGTATTCATACCCACCTACAGACCTGGGGTCCTGCATCCGTTCCCGGATGTGGTGGGTGAGGTTTTCGATCAGGTCAAATACCTGATCACAGACCTTCACAGGATTCTGGATGATAGTCATGGAGTTGAGCAGGGAAATACTTCTGGTGGGAGCCAGCTATGAAGAATTGAGAGAAGAAAAGCAAGATAAGCTCAGCACTAATTGCCCAGATTCCTGTGAGCTTATTACACAGAGACTACCCACAATACAGATCTGTATGCCGGTTCACTCCAGTGAGCATTCTTAGGTTACTGGGCATAGTAGCAGCTCTAGGCCTTCAGGTAAGGGCACTGCTCTAGCATATAGTCATCTAAGAGAGATTGATTTTAAGAGTCTTAGAGTCCAGAGAAAATAAAACAGACCTAAGTTATTTTCTTGAAGGCTCTAGAATACACATGGAAAATACTGGAGAATAAGGATTAAACCAAAATCCCTCAAAATCTCCACAGAATGTTTTCATGAGTAGAGATCAGAGATAACATCATCTTCTTCCTCTAAACAAGATGCCAGCCTGAGCCTAGAGTAGAAATGCTGCCTCAGAACTGGGTTCCGACTCAGGCTTTTAGGACAGTAACTGTCAATGAGAAATGCAGAGGGAGAATCAAGATTGTGGCTGAAAATGCACAATTCTATTTAGGTCCTCACAAGTTTCATTCTTGCTTTCAAAAGAAGACAAGGCAGAAAAGGAAAGCTGCCTTAGCTTTTTTGAGTTTGACAGTGAGCAATGGATTGGGAAATAAAGGAGCAACATCCTCTTCCTTATCAAGTCCTACTCAGAGAACACAGAAAATGCCATGGAATCATAGCAATGTGCTTACTTAGCTCATTTAAGAACCAATCAGAAATGTTACACAACAATGTAAATTCATATAATGCTACTGAACTGTACAGTTAAAAATGGTTAAAGTGGTACCACAATTTTACATTTTTAAACTTTTTTAAAAAATAACATATCAGAAGTGAGGAGTGGGAAGAGGAGAAAACCACTGCCTAGTCAATTGTGGCCTAGATATGCAGGAAAAAGAATGACCATATTGGGTAATGGCATATAGTGGAATTAACACTATAAAGCATTGTAACAGCCTGGGCTTTGGAGTTAGACTCCTTGGGTTTGTATTAGCTGGATGACATGGGAAAAATTGCTTAGATTCTTCTGAGCCTAGGTTTCCTCATCTGTGAAATGGGAAGAAAGTCCTTGTGGTCTGCAGTCCTCGTAGTGCTTTAAAGATGACCATCAATTTTTTGTCTTCCTTCCCTTTCCTTAAATCTGGCTGGCCCGGTGACTGCTTAACCAATAAAAAGGAACAAAGTTATGTTGTGCTAATTCTGAGCCTACACTTTAAGAAAGTTTTTAAACTTCTGCTTTTGAATATCCCTACTGCTACCATTTAATACATCCAGCTATCATGCTATGGAAACCATATGAAGAACTAAGTGGAGAGGAGAGGCACTGAGATTACTGGGAGAGCATGCAGAGGGAGAGCGCCAGCCATCCCACAATCCCAGCTGAATTCCAGATGGTTCCAGCTCCAGTCAATATCTGACTGCAATTTCAGGAGAGACTCCAAGCAAGATCAGATGAGCCCGGAACTGTGACAGATAATAAAATGGTTGTTGTTTTAGGTTACTATGTTTTGGGGTAGTTTATTATGCAACAATGGATAACTGAAACATTCTTTTGTTCAGGGTCCTTGGGATCTGAGCTGTGCTTTGGAATTGAGAATGTGTGGGACTTTAAAAGTGAATACAGTATATATGCCATATGTATATAATACCTCCAACAGGGCCTATGGCATAACCAAACACATTAATATTTCTGCCACAAAATGCATGACTATAAAGTGGGAAAACTAAGGATTATAAAAGTCTTACGACAGTTCGTGTCAGGTTTGGCTGCCAAATGAATCTTAGTGTCAAGAAAAAAATCTTTTTAATTTTCAAAATTATGGACAAGAGATTGTAGACCTGTACTTATCTGAAAGGGTTGCTGTAAGGATTAAACAATATGTGTAAAACAACTAAAACAGTGCCTAGCATGCAGTAAATACCGTTATTATTGATCCCTACTATTTAGAATTCTAGGAATTGGGGATCCAGGTTACTTTATTTATTTATTTATTTTTTTTTTTATTTATTTTTTTTGAGACGGAGTCTCGCTCTGTCGCCCAGGCTGGAGTGCAGTGGCCGGATCTCAGCTCACTGCAAGCTCCGCCTCCTGGGTTCATGCCATTCTCCTGCCTCAGCCTCCCGAGTAGCTGGGACTACAGGTGCCCGCCACCTTGCCCGGCTAGTTTTTTTGTAGTTTTAGTAGAGATGGGGTTTCACCGTGTTAGCCAGGATGGTCTCGATCTTCTGACCTCGTGATCCGCCCGTCTCAGCCTCCCAAAGTGCTGGGATTACAGGCTTGAGCCACCGCGCCCGGCCCCAGGTTATTTTAGAGCCTGACCTGGTCGTAGTCCTCAGGGCCAAAGGGCGCATCCTGCTGTAAAATATGGTGCAGCCGAGCCTTCACCCGGTGCTGGCAGCTGCTCAAAGACTCCCCATCGCTGTCCAGTAGCCCATTCATGTTGGCACTCTTCACCATTTACACTAAAATGGGTGTCAGCTCCCCTTCTAGAGCCAGAAGGCCCTAAAGAGAAAGCACAAGGTCTATTTGTTTCCCTTGCAGGTTAGCAGGTTAGTATCCCTAGGCCTAGATGGTCCCAGGGATCGAATGGGACCTGGTTGAAGAGATGGGGCCTACAATCACTGATTCTCAGCTCATTCTCAGTAGTACAAAATGGGTCCAATACATGCAGAAACTTCTGAGTTGGCCTACAAGCACCCTGAAATGCTCCAACTGGTTCTCTAAACTCTCTGCTTCTCTACCTAAAGGAAACTGGGACTATAGAACTATAGTATGCACCTTTGCGAAGGCAGCAGCAGTCATCTGAACACGACCCTCATCAGAGGCATAGATCTTGAGGTCGTGGTGGAAAGTGCTATGGAGACGAAGCAGTCCACAACCAGGGAAGCCAGCATAGTCACCTGGGGACAAAGCGGGGGACCAGGAATGGACTGCTATAAATACTCGTGGAAGAAAAAATATTCATTTCCCCATTGTCTCTGTCACTTCATTTTCCCCAACTTACTCTCTAATCATTTTTATCCCAGCCCTGTTGTGTTTACTCCCCAAAACACTCACTCTGTCCTCCAGGGTACATGCAGCGAAAAGCTTGCCCCAGCTTCTCAGTCTGAACAGGGCCAGCTAGAGTCAGTTCTCCATTCCACTTCAGCACCAGCAACAGGGATGGGGCCAGAGCCTCCCTCTGTGGATCTGAGGGAATAAGGGGCAGTGAATGGTCTAGATCTAAGAAAAGTAGTGGGAACATCTAAATGTTAGGTCTTCTGAAGAGGCCAGAGAGGTAATTTGGGGTATAGGTCATCTACAGGCTCAAGTAAAAGAGATCTGGTGGGGAGAGAAGATAGACAAAAAAAAAATAAAAAGAACACAAGATCTGAGAGGTAATAGTAAGGTGGACTACATCTTACCTTGCCCCTCATTAGAAGCTTTTATTCCATGAGGGTAGTAAGTCAATTGTACCTTCCGGTTTATACCTGAGAAGTGACCATACCTGCAGGATAAAGTCACAGTTTATTTTCTGTTCCAGCACCCCAACTCTCACTGTTATTGGCTCCCTTTTGCTATCCCTTTTCTCACATCTCCAATACAGACTTCAGCTGTTCTAGTTTTCCAGTCTTCTCCTCGATTTCACCACCTGGTTCTTTCTCCAGTTCAGCCAACAACAGCCTTGTGATATCCAGCACCTCCTAGAGGAAATAATAAGGTATCCATGCAGAAGGCCAAGTCCTAGACAGTTACCTTTTGATCCTAGTCTTTTATCGAGACTCCCAATGCCATATCCTCTCTCTCTCTCTCTCTCATAGCACTGCTCCTCCTGGCCAGATTCACTACCTTACCTGGAGCTGCTCAGGTCGCTTGAGTTTTAATTTCCCTGTCTTGTAGCCACCATGTTTTTCAAACAGAGCAAAAAACCTGAAGAAATAATGAGAAGCTTCAGTGTGGGATGAGACAGTCAAAGCCTGTAGGAGTTGCACCCCATGCAGTCTTCCTCACAAAAACCTATTTGTGTAAATTAGGACACTCTTCCTACCTTGGGTGTTTCACTTCCATCTTCATCTTCTGCTTGGGAGTACGATCCCCATGACGAATAATTGCAATGACACAACGAAGTTCCATCCTAAGATCATAAATGTTATCAGAGCCTCTCCCACACCCCCATCCCACCTCCTGTCTTCACATTACTTGACATGTCAAAAAATAGGGGGGCTTGGCCGGGCGCGGTGGCTCAAGCCTGTAATCCCAGCACTTTGGGAGGTTGAGACGGGCGGATCACAAGGTCAGGAGATCGAGACCATCCTGGCTAACATGGTGAAACCCCGTCTCTACTAAAAAATAGAAAAAAAAACTAGCCAGGCGAGGTGGTGGGCGCCTGTAGTCCCAGCTACTTGGGAGGCTGAGGCAGAATGGTGGGAATCCGGGAGGCGGAGCTTGCAGTGAGCCGAGATTGCGCCACTGCACTCCACCCTGGGCGACAGAGCGAGACTCCATCTCAAAAAAAAAAAAAAAAAAAAAAAAAAAAGTTAAAAAAAAAAAATAGGGGGGGTGAGCAGGGCTCATGCCTGTCATCTCAGCACTTTGGGAGGCTGAGGTGGGAGGATCACTTAGGCCCAGGAGAAACATAGGGTGAGCATAAGCAACATAGGGTCAGCCTGTCTATAAAAAAGTTAAAAGAAAAAAAATGATCCAGGCGTGGTGGCACACGCCTGTGTCCCAGCTATCTGGGAGGCTGAGGTGGGAGGATCACTTGAGCCCAGGAGGTAGAGGCTGCAGTGAAACATGCGTGCACCACTGCACTCCAGCCTGGGAGACAGAGCCAGACCCTGTCACAAAAAAAAAAAAAAAAAAGAAGAAAATGAAAAGGAAACTGTGATTAGGAATATAAATGGAGGCTGGGCATAGGGGCTCATGCCTATAATCCCAGCACACTGGAAGGCTGAGGCGGGTGGATCACTTGAACTCAGGAGTTCAGGATCAGCCTGGTCACATGGTGAAACCCTGTCTCTACTAAAAACACAAAAATGGCCGGGCGCGGTGGCTCAAGCCTGTAGTCCCAGCACTTTGGGAGGCCGAGACGGGCGGATCACGAGGTCAGGAGATCGAGACCATCCTGGCTAACACGGTGAAACTCCGTCTCTACTAAAAAATACAAAAAACTAGCCGGGCGAGGTGGCGGGCGCCTGTAGCCCCAGCTACTCCAGAGGCTGAGGCAGGAGAATGGCATAAATCTGGGAGGCGGAGCTTGCAGTGAGCTGAGATCCGGCCACTGCACTCCAGCCTGGGTGACAGAGCCAGACTCCGTCTCAAAAAAACAAAAACAAAAACAAAAAACACAAAAATTAGCCAGATGTGCTCACCTGAACCCAGGAAGTGGAGGTTGCTGTGGGCCGAGATCATGCCACTGCACTCCAGCCTGGGCAACACAGCAAGACTCTGTCTCAAAAAAAAAAGGCAGGGAATATAAGTGGAATTAAGAAGACTGTGTATAAGAGACCCAGGCTCTGTTAGTCAGATAGTGTGGGGTCAGGAAGTAACCAGTAGTCTGGTTGAAGGAGTCCCATGGGTCTTAAGTAGGTTACTCCAGACCTTTTACTTCTGCTTACATAGTGCCAGATGTGGTAGGAACAATGGGAATGTCCTCAGCCTCTGTGGGGATGGACCACGGAATCTGGAACTGTGGGGCAAGCTCCCGCATTATGGTATTCCTAGAAAGAGAAACAAAGAAGCCATGTAAAAATGAATAAACCAGAACTACTCATATGAATGAAGCTCACAGAAACAAGCAGGCTGCAGGCAGAAGAATACGTTGATATAAAGTCTAAAAACATACAAACAAATACCCATACATAGGCAGTAAAAATATAAATAAATATATGGGAATGACAAACACCAAATTATGGATTGTGGTTCCCTCTGGGGATGAGGAGGGGATGTTACCAGGGAGGAGTATATAGGGGCTTCAATTACATATATATATAAAAATATATATACACATACACACACATGTATGTATCTATACATGTATGTGTATATATACATATATACGTACATATATACATATATACACATATGTGTACCTATATATGTACGTGTGTGTGTATGTGTGTGTGTGTATATATATATATATTTTTTGAGACAGAGTTTCGCTGTTGTTGCCCAGGCTGGAGTGCAATGGCATGATCTCAGCTCACTGCAATCTCCACCTCCTGGAATCAAGCAATTCTACTGCCTCAGCCTCCTGAGCAGCTGAGATTACAGGGGCCCACCTGACCATGGCTAATTCTTTGTTTTTGTTTTGTTTTGTTTTGAGATGGAGTCTCATTCCTGTCACCCAGGCTGGAGTGCAGTGGCATGATCTCACCTCGCTGCAATCTCCGCCTCCCGGGTTCAAGTGATTCTCCTGTCTCAGCCTCCCAAGTAGCTGGGATTACCGGTACCCGCCATTATGCCGGCCAATTTTTGTGTGTGTGTATTTTTAGTAGAGACGGGGTTTCACCATGTTGGCCAGGCTGGTCTCACCAGTCCTGACCTCAAGTGATCCACGCACCTCGCCCTCCCAAAGTGCTGGGATTACAGGCGGAAGCCACCGAGCCTGCCCAATTTTTGTATTTTTAGTAGAAATAAGGTTTCACCATGTTGGTCTGGCTGGTCTCAAACTCCTGACCACAGGTGATCCACCTGCCTCGGCCTCCCAAAGTGCCGGGATTACAGGCGTGAGCCACCATGCCCGGCCTATATTCCTAACATTTTATTTCACAAGCTAGGTGGTGAATACATAGGTGCTCACTATAGTCATCATTCCTTATATATTTTCAAATGGTTTATACATTATGTGACAAATTTCTTGGAAAGTCAAGTTGCAGAGCAGTATTATGGTATGACCACATTTAGTAAAATAAATACAGCTTGGATATGGCAGAAAAAGATAAATTGTTATGTCTAAAACTTGTAACAACAACGGTCTCTGGAGGGGCAGTGTTAGAAAGGCAAGGAGCCTGAGGAGCCCCTTCTTTCTTTCTTATTTTTATTTTATTTATTTATTTATTTATTTATTGAGACAGAGTTTCGCTCTTGTCACCCAGGCTGGAGTACTATGGCACGATCTCAGCTCACTGCAACCTTCACCTCCTGCGTTCAAGTGATTCTCCTGCCACAGCCTCCCTGGTAGCTGGGATTACAGGCATGCACCACCATGCCTGGCTAATTTTGTATCTTAAGTAGAAACAGGGTTTCACCATGTTGGCCAGGCTGGTCTCTAACTCCCGACCCAGGTGACCCACCTATCTCAGCCTCTCAAAGTGCTGAGTTTACAGGCATGAGCCACCGCACCTGGCCTGCTTTTTCACTTTTAAATCATCTTTATGATATTTAAAATAAAGCAAAAACTTTCAAATATTCTTCTGTAAGCCCATTCTCCCCAGCACAGACCACTGTGTCTCTTACCCCAAAATCTTGGCACAGTCATCATAGTATTTCATCGAGTTCTTGACAAAACTAAAACCATTGACATCGCACACAAAGGAATGACCATTGGCACGAAGAAGGTCAAACCCACAAACTGTTTGCTGCAAGGAAAAGAAGGAAGATGAGAACAAGACAGTTACTCTTCCTGGACCCCTGTTCCTTCCTTTCTCCCTCATTTCGCAACCTCCCTGGGCCCTCCTCTACCTTGAAAGCTACGCAGACTTTCCTGGCCACCAGCTTTTCCATGGCAGTCAGCATGACTGGATATCGAATCTCTTTCCCCTCACTGTCTCGTTCAACCTTCCCATCCAAAGCTGGAGACTTTCTAGCTTCAGCATGGGCATAATCTGGCCCCACTGTATACACCTGCAGGTACATAGCATCACTGAGTATGCCCACAGCTCACCCTGTATATGAGAAGACAATATGAGCACTAGGTCTGTAGACTAGTTTCAGAGTAAAACAACAACAACAAAAACAAAACCAACAAATCCTGAGCATTAAGGGGACTGACCAACATTTTTCCTACTGAGCCCTACTCAAGTATCATTACGAATTTCTCCTCGGGACTCCACTACTGTCAGACAGTCCTTATTAAACAATAATTTACCAACATTATACCATTTTTCTAAGTCAGCCTTGCCCTTGCTCTGATAGTGAAAATGTGAATGTCTGAATCCTCCACTCATTATCTTCACCTGAATATGAAAGCCAATCACATTCACATCATGTTATTTTCTAGGACCTCCTCCCCATATACTTCCACCTGCTTCCCAAGTACCCCATCCCCACCCAGACATCTGTAACCTCTTAAATCCCTGTATCCACCATAACCTTGACATCTGTGCCATCTGTTGGCATAAATTCCTCATAGATGTACGACCCCGTCTTTCGGACGCTGCTCTCAGGAGAGTAAACACTGCTTCGGCTGCCAATCTTCAAGAGAAAAAAAAAGAAGAAAAAACAATGTTGCCTCAACTCTCTCTTCTGTCCCCAAATTCTCCATCTTCCTTCCCCACGACCTCATCCTTGCCCTTTTACCTCTCTGACTCTCCAGATGCTCAAATGTCTCCCCTACCTTACGAAAGAGACGCTGGCTTCCTCCTCCAGCTGAGCTGGGGTAGTAGATGTAAACATTGTGGTCTTCTGCACTCACTGGCTTCTCCACGAAGGGCTTGGGAAAGACAGCTCCATTGACCTCTACTTGGTCTTCACCTTCTATCAGGTTGCATTCTGAAAGGTGGGTGTGTGGTCATTCCTATGGCCTATGGTTATGGAATATTACTAATTCTCATTTCCCCAGGTTTTCATCTCTATAACCCTCAAATTTTTATGACCGTATCTTTGTAATAGATGAGGTAAAAACTCTATATAACAGGTCCAAGACTCTGTCCGAAGACTTATGGCTCTAACCCCACCCATAATCCAATAATCAAAACCCCACATAGATAGGTGGTATATAGGCGATGTCTAGAAGATGGAAACGTGGCTAAGTCATAGAAAGCAAGGAAAGGCAGGACTAACCCTCCCTCAGGCCAGGTACTCACCATCAGGCCGGGCAGGATCACGGTTGAGCACAGCATATCGAGGCAGATCAATACCCTCTTCCTGCAGGATCCGGTACACCTCCCTCCTGTCACCCCCAAATAAAATAGCTGGGAGAGGTGGGAGTAACTAAGGGAAGAGCCTGGGGATTTCATTTGCACAGGATTAAAAGACACCAGGGCACAAAATTATGGTACAAAAATTAGGCATGTTTGTTTGACTCTGCCCTTCTCAGAGTGGGTTCCCTGAACATGCGTGATCCCAAAGCCGCCCATCTCACTGGTCAACAGGAAGTTATACCTATCTTGGATGTAATACTGCATGGCCAGATCATTGATAAGAAAGGGGTTTCGAAGCTTGGAGTAAGCAACAGCTTTGTCCAGAGGGAAGCCTGGAATGGAGATACAAAATAAAGAGACAAAAGAAAGGGAGAGAAAGAGAACGAGAAAAGAGCAAGAGACATAGAAAGACATATTAAAGCGACTAGCTGCCACTGAGCTCCTCTACCCATTCAATCCATCACTTATTCTTCTGCCCAGCTCCCCAAGTCTAGGATATTTATCAAGAAAAAGTAAAACAGAAATTATTTTTACAGTCCTTCCAGAGACCCAACTCTGTCCAGAGATCCTAAGAGACTTAGAGTTGTCCTGAGGTTAGACTATAGGCTTTAAATCCCCAGCAACTCCTCCAGGATGTAGGGAAAGCAAACTCCTTGGCACCATTGTCTAGTGTGTCACAAGTAGCTGATGGCTCTTTACTAAGGAAATAAGACAGTAAGAACCTCATGTCCCAAACCGGTATTCCCACCACCATTCCCTCCCATTTTCCTTCCCAGACCCCAACCTTTGGAGTGGAAAGAGATGAGACAGTGGCAGGATGGCCAGTTTTCCACAGGTTCATTAAGGATTACATCTTCTCCCAGAATGATAACAGTCAGGTAGTCAAATCTGCAGAGTCGCTCTAGGATTTGAGTCATTGGCTTGGACTTGGATTTCTTGGTCATGGCACAGATGCCAACAATGATCTGAGGTTCAGGAGGCTACAGAGAGGAAGTGCTATCAGAAACTCAAGAACTTTCCACCAATATCACCCCCTTCTGGGAACACTGTCTTATCTTCTTAGGGCACAGAGTTTCTTGCCAGGACTCTGGAGCTATGGGATACAGGGTGCCTCCTAACTTTGATCTAGGTTGGGGCACAGCTAGGGATTCCAACTGCCTACAGAATAGGAGCCTTTCCACAATAGGAAATACGTGCTCAAGCAGGAGAGCTAGAGAACCAACAACCATGAGACAACAGGAAGATCCTAAGGGCAGGGGTTTCTTTTTTTCCTTTTTTTGAGATGGAGTCTCACTCTGTCGCCCAGGCTGGAGTGCAGTGGCATGATTTCTACTCACTGCGACCTCCAACTCTTGGGCTCAAGTGATTCTCCTGCCTCAGCCTCCCCAGTAGCTGGGATTACAGGTGCCCACCACCATGCCCAGCTAATTTTTGTATTTTTAGTAGAGACAGGGTTTCACCATGTTGGACAGGCTGGTTTCGAACTCCTGACCTCAAATGATCTGGCTGCCTTGGCCTCCCAAAGTGTTGGGATTACCCACACCCGGCCAGGGCAGGGGTTTCTAAGAGAGGCAACCTAACCAATCTCTACTGCCCCTCCCCTAAACCAGGATAGGGCCTGTTTATGACAGGGAGTCTATGCATTTGGAAAGAACAGAGAGGTATCTCCAACCAATAGAATCTTAATTCTCAAGGACAGAGGCTCCAACACCAAGTTATATCATTTTCCCCATTCTTACCACTTCATCCTCCTCGTCCTCAAGGAGCTCGCTGTCACTCTCTTCTGGCCTCATGCCTATTCCACGGGTGCCCAGCCCCTCATCTCCAGCTCCAAGGAAGAAGTGGGCAGTGGTACTCTCGCCCTCACTGGCCGTCAATGACCACATCCCTGCCGGAACACCCACTCATCCCGCTCTGCAGAGGGGGGTACCCCATCAGCTCAGAACCCAAGCCCCCTGGCAGTGGGTGGGGATGGGGATGGAGATGAAAAGCATAAGAGGGAACTATAAGGGGAAACAAAACAAAGCTATAGGAAGAAGGATCAACAAGAAAGGAGGCATATGGGCTATGACTTGAGATGCTAAAAGAGCCATAAAAGAAAAACCAAGGTATCCCTTTTCCTCCCTGCTCACCCCACCCCAACCAATAAATTAGTAAGAGGATCAGATAATCAGCCCTTACAATGCCTGCATGTCCCTGATTTGGCCAGCAAGAAACATTAACTTCAGGTAGCAAATGGGAAAGGTAGGTCCTCAAGGAAGGCTACTGTTGAGTCCTACCAGAAGAGAAGGTTAGAGTGACATTTCAAACTTTGACTCATTCCACAATGTTCCTAGTCCTTTTCCACCTCCTCACAGTAGTGTTGAATTCAGTGATTTAATTCAAAGGCAGAGGAATGAGAGAGCTCAGCTGCCTTTCCCCTTAAACCTCATCTTCATTCTTCCCAAAGATTCACTCAAAAAATATTCATTGAGGGTACCCTACATTCTAAGTATTATATCAGAACATTAAGGCCAGGCACACTGGCTTACACCTGTAATTCCAGCGTTTTGGGAGGCTGAGGAGGATGGATCACGAGTCCAGGAGTTCGAGACCAGCCTGGGCAACATGTCGAAACCCAGTTTCTACAAAAAAATACAAAAATTAGGCAGGCATGGTGGTGCATGCCTGTAGTCCCAGCTACTTGGGAGGCTGAGGCAAGAGGATCATTTGAGTCCGGGATGTGGACATTGCAGTGAGCCGAGATCACGCCATTGCACTCCAGCCTGGGTGACAGAGTGAGGCCCTCTCTCAAACCAAAAATTAAAAAAATAATAAAACCCCCATGTTCTCTCTCTTTCATCTACTCCACCTTAAAAGACAGTTGCCCAGCCAGATGCCATGGTTCATCCCTATAATTCCAGTATTTTAGGAAGCTGAGGCAGGAGGATCGCTTGGGCTCAGGAGTTTGAGACCAGCCAGGGCAACATAGCAAGACCCCATCTCTACAAAAAAAAATTAAGGCTGCACACAGGGGCTCATGCCTGTAATCCCAGCACTTTGGGAGGCTGAAACAGGATGACTGCTTGAGCCTAAGAGTTCGAGACCAGCCTGGGCAATATAGGGAGACAGGACCTATACAAAAGCTTTTTCTTAAATTAGCCGGGCATGGTGGCACGTGCCTGTGGTCCCAGCTACTTGGGAGGCTAAGCTGGGAGGATTGTTTAAACCTAAAAGGCCGGGACTGCAGTGAGCGGTGATTGTACCACTGCACTCCAGCCTGGGTAACGGAAAAAGACCCTGCTTCAGAAGAAAAAAATTTTTTTTTCTTTTTTTCTTGAGACAGAGTCTCGCTCTGTCACCCAGGCTGGAGTGCAGTGGTGTGACCTCAGCTCACTGCAACCTCCGCCTTCCGAGTTTAAGCAATTCTCCTGCCTCAGCCTCCCGAGTAGCTGAGACCACAGGCACACCACACCATGCCTGGCCAATTTTTTTGTATTTTACTTTATAGTAGAGACAGAGTTTCATCATGCTGACCAGGCTGGTCTTAAACTCCTGACCTTGTGATCCCCCCACCTCAGACTCCCAAAGTGCTGGGATTACAGGCGTGAACTACCATACCCAGCCAAAAAGTTTTTTAAAATTAGCCAGGCATAGTGAGTTGTACACACCAGTGGCCCCAGCTACTCAAAAGGCTGAGGTGGAAGGATTGTTTAAGCACAAGAGGTCAAGTCTGCAGTGAGCCATGATCGTGCCACTGCACTCCAGTCTGGGTGACACAGCAAGACCCTGCCTCAAATAATGACGATAATAATAATAATAATAATAAAAGACAGATGCCCAAATTCAGAAAATCTGTTCAGGCAAAGAGGTCTAGTGTGGTTGGGAGGTTGAGGATACAGGCATCCATACAGCAGTCTCCAACCCATTCTCAAACTGAAATCTCAATGTTCTCTCTAGTGTCCCCTGGTACTATAGAACCAGTGTTAGTCTAGGCCAAGGTCATTCACACCAGGAGCTACAGTTAAAAAAAAAAAATCCTGTCTAAAACTGTACAAGTAAGAATATCTTAAGACTTTAACTTGAGGGCCGAGTGCGGTGGCCCACGCCTGTAATCCCAGCACTTTGGGAGGCCAAGGCGGGTGGATCACGAGGTCAGGAGATCAAGACCATCCTGGCTAACACGGCAAAACCCCATCTCTACTAAAAATACAAAAAAAAAAATACCAAAAAAAAAACAATTAGCTGGGCGTGGTGGCGGGCGCCTATAGTCCCAGCTACTCGGGAGGCTGAGGCAGGAGAATGGCATGAACCTGGGAGGCAGAGCAAGCAGTGAGCCGAGATCCGCCACTGCACTCCAGCCTGGTCAACAGAGCAAGATTCTGTCTCAAAAAAAAAAAAAAAAAAAAAAAAAGAGAGACTTTAACTTGAACTTGAACCAGCAGTTCCACTTCTGTGTACACACAAGTAACGTAGTGGTTCTCAACCAGCTGTGATTTTGCTGCACAGGGGACGTTTGGCAGGAGACATTTTTGGTTGTCACAATTGGAAAGGTACTATTGGTGTCTAGTGAGTAGATGCCAGGGATACCGCTGAACATTCTAAAATGCGTAAGATAAGATATCTCCTCACAACCAAGAATTATCCAGCCTTAAATCTCAGTAGTGCTGAGGTGGAGAAACCCTGCTGTAGAGAAATTCTCCTACATAAGAAGACTTTTGTGAGGAAGTTCTTAACCTTCTTCATCTCTCTGTTGGTAATGAGAAAAACAAAATAGTTGACAGGTTACAAGTAGAATCGATAAATATAACGTTGTATACAGAAAAGACAGACTAATAGCAATGCAAAAATAAAAGCTGTATGTAATAAATGGACAGTTTCCAAATACAAACTGCAGAGACATACCTGCAGCACAATTCTATTTGTATAAATACAAATATTACATATGGTTTATGACTGTATATATAATTAGTAGAAGTAAAAAAACAGGGACTGGAAAGAAAGACATCAAATTCATGATAGGGGTTACTTTTGAGAAGGGAGAATGGAACTGAGGATTCAAATGGTACTTCATAACCTTATCTACAATGTTTATTTCAATTGTAAAAAAGATCTGAAGCAAATACACAAAAGTTTAACATTTGTTCATATGAATTGTAAGGATATGAATATCTGTTATTATTTTCCAAAAATAAAAATTGAGTCACACATCAGCAATTTTCCATGGTCTCCAAAAGCTCTCAGAAACACTGACCAGTGACTCTAGTAAAAGCCACAAACTCCTTAACTAAATGAACTTGTCTTACAGAAATGATATCTTATATATGTAATTAGTCTCATAGATTTTGAAAATAATCTTGAATTATTTGCTCTATCTTCATTTTAAACTCTTTCATTACAACTGGGGCTTGCAATTTTGACTAGAAAGTTCTAGTTGACTGCCGGGCACGGTGGCTCATGCCCGTAATCTCAGCACTTTAGGAGGCCAAGGCAGGCAGATCACTTGAGGTCAGGAGTTCAAGAACAGTCTAGCCATCGTGGTGAAACCCTGTCTCTACTAAAAATACAAAAAATTAGCCTGGTGGGGTGGCGCGTGCCTGTAATCCCAACAACTCAGGAGGCTGAGGCTGGAGAGTCCTTTGAACCCAGGAGGCGGCGGTTGCAGTGAGCTGAGATCATGCCACTGCACTCCAGCCTGGGTGACAAGCGTTAAAATCCTGTCTCAAACGAACAACAACAAAAAAGTTCTAGTGGACCTTTATACAGACCTCGAACTCTCGATCTTTCCAGTCTTCATCATCTGCTGTCTTTACTTCTCAGTTGCCACGGGGGTGCAACATTCTCCTTAGACGTAATATTTCTAGTTGTGCACTGTATGTCTCATACACACACTCTTCTCCCTAATAAAAAGGCTATTTTTTAAATTCCTTTTCAGTGACCTGACCCAATTTCCCTGACTTGGGACATTCCCAAGGTCCCTGTATAGTTTGAGCAATTAGAATTTTGTTACATTCCTCATCCTCGCTCTGAAGCAGAGACTTTCTCTCAAGCCTAAGATTCCTAACCCTTTGCCCTTTCTTCCATTGAGTCCTTCCTCGTTTTCTACTGACTGTACAGTCATGGTCTTGAAATTCTATTGCAACTACATAACGAGGCATGGTAAGTAATAGAACAGGGAAGAGCCTGTTTAAAAATAAGTGTCTGAAGAGAGACGAAAGGTCTAAATTCCCAGTTAACAAAGCAAAAATAGAAACCTGACAGAAATAGCTATGAAATAAGCCAGGATTTATTTAGATGCACCTCTAGGAGAAGCTAGACTTTAATGTGGTGTTCCCAGGGCCGCTTCCCTGTTTTCCATGCTCTTCTCCCCATCCGCCTCTCTCCCAAACTGTGTTGCGAAAGAAAAGAAAACTTCACACTCCACACTGGGCTAAAGGGCAGTCTTAGGCCGATAGGAATCAATGTGAATGGAAGGAAAGAAGCAAGGAGATAGGTGAGTAAGGTAAGGAGGGAGGGGCAGGCAGGCAATCTCAGGAACATCTATGTTAAATCAGATCTGGAGAAAGGGTAGAAGGGAGGGTACACGGTGTAACTTCTTTATCCCTTTGACTTTAGGGCTGCTTGCATACATTTCCAAAATCACTATGCACTTGATGGTGGACTCCATTGGTAGCGAAGAGGAAATATCAATACAAATTCCAGGCAGCAATACTTCCAACACAGAAAAACTCCTCAGGCCACCAACACTATTTTCTGCCCACCTTGAACAGTGGACACCTCACTTCCTTCTTAATGCAATTTTTAATTTTTAATTCTTCAGACACACTCCTCCTTCCGACTCCGATCAACTGTGCTCCTCTCCCTGTTCTCAGTATCAGCTGCTTCGTTCCGTCTTCTTTCCCCAACTTGCTACCACTCTTGCCCCAATAATGACTGCAGCCTCCCCATCCCGTCCCGCATCATTGGTCAACTAATTCCATTAATCCAACTAATCCTCTCACTGACTGATTCCCCAGTATTAAACTCCTTCACCCCCTCGCACGAGTCACCATACTGGGTAACATCTTTATATTGACCCCCAGTGACCCCCCACAAAGACGGCCTGCCATCCATTCTTTCCTCACACCACCCCTCTCTCGAGGCTGTCTTCTCTCCGCCGCAACCCATTCCTCAAGCTACCCCCTTCCCCC